CTCGCCCCGTCGTGATTGGACGGCAGCCGCACACTACGGTCCGCCGCCGGGACACCTTACACCGGCGCCCGCAACTTCCCCACAAGGTCACCGCTGCCGCCCAGAGGCCGTGCCTCGGTGGCCTTGTGGGAAATCCGGGCCTGCACATGTTATGATAACGTTTGCTGCTACTTCTTCTAAGTATGCTGCTGTGTGTGCATTTTCTGAAGTATCAATTGTTTCTGCAAGGAATACATTCCCTTCTTCTGTTGTTATACAAGCACATACAATAGGATCATTGTGGACATTACTCCACCCATCAAGACTTAGGTTAACAATTTTACCTTCTACACTTGTTGCACATTGCATCATTTCTTCATCATATACTTCATCATATACTTTATCCAGCAGTTTCCCTGCAACATCTAATCTACTTGGTGGACTGTATCCTGGTCTCAGTGACTGAATCATATTAACAAAGTGTGGGTTTTCAAGCAGACGGAAAGAAGAGTTTGTTGCATAATTAACTCTTTTTCTAATCTGCTGGTTTTTATCACAAACTTATCTATGGTAGTGGTTCCAGATGGTTTCTTTTTTTTTTTAGATGATATATTGCGGATATGTGTAAATTATGTGACTGATGCACTATCCTGGAGAGGGAACTCTGAAACTGTAGAACAAGAGGATGGCGATTTAGAAAGTGCTGTCAATGCTGTTATTTTATTATTTAAAGCAGTGGTTCTTAACCTGTGTAACCACAGGACCCACATTTGTCCTCGGTCATTAAGTCGCGACCCAAGTCGAACTGCAGTGGAATGCATGGCAGCGTGGGCTATATGTACATTGCTTGTGCAGCTCGCATGTGCGCTTGTAGAGGTGCCAGGAGCAAGAATGTGATGTCACTCCAGTCCAGGCACATCTACAGGACATGTGAGGGAGCTATAAGCAATGCACGCATGGAAGGAGCTCCTTTACGGCCATACCCCCAGCCCACCCCACCTCAAGTCAACACTCGGCGCCGGGCAGCATATTTTGAATGGTTGCTCGGTGTAAGAACGGACACTGCTGCGCTGGGGGGGAGGAGCCGCTCACCTAGAAAAGTGTAAGGCATGCGGCGACGCACTGAAGACGGGGTTGCAACCCACTTTTGGGTCACGACCCACCAGTTGAGAACCAAGGATTTAAACTATGTATGCTTATTGTGAATTTCTCATTGCATTCACACACAGTACAGCCTAAAAATGAATATTTGCATAGTTCAACTCATTATTTCTTTTTTTGGCATCTGTATAAAAATGCAGTAACAATAGCAGATACATATTCTTACTGTAGCATAACAATACCTCACGGCAGTCTAAAAAATATGGTGAAATAAAAACAGTTTACCAACCTGAAGGTCCTGCCTCTTCAAACATGGTCCTTTCATCACAGCACTTCTCATGATGTTGTTTCATTCGGGCCACCAGCCCTTGCATCTCTTTGTTGCATTGCTTGCATTTTGCACGCATACCTGCTTTACCCATAGGTAGAGGAACTTCATTAAAATATTGCCAAACTGGGTCTCTTTTACGGCCTGCTGCCATTGTGCTCCTCAAGGGAGGAATAAAGCACTTCAAGCTATGTGCAGAAAGATCATAAGGTTTATAAGCTCACTTTTATTTTTACTGCTTGCCCTTCCTCCTCACACTTCGAGCCTGATACAGATGCATTTCTCTTCAAACAATCATACAGTTTGTAGTGTACATAGTAAAAAATGGGATAAAGGAATATTCCTGAGCTTTGTTTTATGATTTATCTCATGGTTTCTTTCCACTAAATTTCTGCTATGTTTGCTATGCTACCTCCCAGGCATGTTCTGTTCAGGTACAGAAGATGATGATAATGACAAATGTTAGAATTTATCTTAAAGGACAGCCAGATGCAGAATATAAAATAAGTAGGCATCAGCAAGTAGGCTTTGTGCCCCAACCAACATTTCTGTGTGTAACTAGAAGTACGTCCAATTTTTAGTTGTTTAAGTTTTCATAAAATGTTTTAGAAATTGATTTAAAAATGGTTGTTTGTTTATAATAAAATATTTCTGGGAAATGTCATCTTCTCTAATCTCATAGCTACGATTTTATTCTTTCCAGAATTAAAGAATAAACTGGATGGTGTTCATAATCCCGCTCCTAAAAAAGAAGCCGAGGCGAGTATCCCTGAAATGAATTTCAGTATAGTGTATGCAGGTTGGCTGCTCAGCGTACATTGCTCTGGCAGTGAAGGGGTGTACACTTTGACAAGGGTAATACAAAGCCGTTTTCTTTCTCCTGGCTGCATGCTGATCTAGGTAATACTCCGGAGTAATATTCCAATTATTAAACATGGCAATTACACTGAGTGATGCACATTGCGACTACACAATTCAGCTGCTTTGCTCCAGGGTGCAAAAATAAAAAGGAAACCTAAATAAAAATTGATAGAAAGCCACGAAACAACAAGCAGGCCCGAGGGGAAATAGTTTCTTGTCGAGGTCTATTGCTCGTAGACTGCTGAGGATTTACTCTCGAGGTTTGAAGGGTGTATCCAAACAGCTTCTATAAGATGATTTCCCAGTCATTCTGCTGTGCTCATGTATTATGTATGCACCTTTCTCTCAGCACACATGATGGATGGGGGCACTTAATATCTTTCAGGCATTTTTCATATGTATTGCTCTTAAACAGGTGACTAAGCCATTTAAGTGCTGTGCTGACTACTGTTAACCCTTACCATGCAACGAGCTAAGCTCTCTATTCAGGTCATGCTACTGGAGCATAGCCATCCGTAATTACACATTTATCGCTATGCTCAGCTGTCATACATAATCTGAAGAAAGTAGAAAAACAACCGGCACTGACAGTATTATCACAGTGGTATTTGAGATCAAGCCACATAAACTAAGCACCTGTTAAAAAAGACCCCATAATATCCTCTTTATATAATCAGTATAGGTACTGCTATAGAAAAATGGGTGTTTAAGAAGGGAAAACAGTGTCAGGAAGTCTCTACGGCTGGAGATATTAGGATTATCTTTACAATGAGGACACAACGCACTAATAATCTAATAGATGTTCTAACCTTCATTAAAAAGTAGCAGTTTTCATGTATGGATGGTATGTTGGAATAGCCATATATTGCTCAATACATAAGCAGGTTTGCTCCCTGCTCTTTCTCTTACTAAAATCATACGGTCTAGGTGATTAAAAATTAGGGATGCACCGATACCAGTGCCAATACTTGACATTTTCATGAGAACTACCAGGGTTGCAGTGGTTGCAGCTGTGACCTGGCTCTGGCACTCCACCACTGTCCTGAAATCATTAGTCTGTATTGTTTTAGAAAAACTGTCACATGACAATAAACAAAAATGTATCAGTACTTGTATCTGTGAGTACTTGGGCAAGTATTTGTACTTGCAAAAATGGTATCAGTGCATTCCTATATTTATAAAAACTAAATCGTACATTAAAACAGAGATGCACAAATCACAGGAGCTCCGTGTGCTCCTTACAAATGACAGCTGCCTCCTAACTTTTGAATTGTTCTCTAGTCTAGTCTTGGAGCTGGAAAAGTATCTGTACTTGTACTGAGTACGGTACTTGATATCGTTGCATCCCTATTGAAAATAATAGACTCTGCAGTCTTCAGTGACGTGAAACAGATGCAATACTCCAGGTAGTGAAAGAGCCATGTTATCTTTGCATAGTAACTAGTATGATGGAGCGCCGAGCAGCATTGTTAGTCATTGAAACTTGGATATACTTTTAGTGTGTTTTGGTTGTTTTGTTTTTTTTCAGTTAAAAATATTTGGGTCAGCAATGGTGGCCCCTACTGTTCTCTTGGTACAGATTTCCTTCAAGGTGCAACTGTTAGCACCACAGGACTACAGTTTCATGAGTCCTGTACCTACAGACACAGTCTGTGTGCATGTGGGCATTGGAAATGTAGGTGATGCTGTGGGCATGTGCCAATTGACAAAGATGGAGCAAAGAACTTCTATCTGTGCTGGAACTCACTAGCCTGACATTTTTGAAGAAGTGTTATGGGCAGTGACTACATTGATGACCCACCTAACTGTGAATAAGCACACAACTCTGCAGTCCAAATGTGGGTTTTTTTTTAAAGAAGGTTTTCCAATAAAACTGAAAATCTGTATCGTGTCAGGTCTATGCCTCCAGCACCTTCATGCGGGCATGACTTCAAATTCCATCCTTTAGTAGCATATAAGGCCTATACCCTGGGCATCTTTTTGTAGGCATGGCGGGGGCCTCTCTCTTTCAGTAGTGTAAAAGGCTTTTGTCTTCAGCATCCTTTTGCAGTCATGACTGGGACCTTCATCTTTTAGAAGTGTATAAGGCTTGTGTCTTCAGCATCTTCTTATAGGCACAGCTAGGAACTCCATCCTTTAGTAGTGTATAAGGCCTATGCCTCCAGCATCTTCTTGTACTGTAGGCATAGTTGGGGCTCCATCATTCAATAGCATAGTAACCTATGTCCCCTGCATTTTGTAGGAATGACTGGGATCTCCTTCCTTCAAAAGTGCATAAGGTCTGTGCTTCCAGTATCTTCTTGGAGGCATGGCATTATCCTTCAGTAGTGTAAAAGGTGTATTTTTCTAGCATCTTTTTGAAGGCATAAGCCTTTGCCTCTAAGACCTTGTAGGCATGACATGGACCTCCGCCCTTCAGCAGCATATAATGCTTTTGCCTCCAGCATCTTGTAGGTATGTCTTGGACCTCCATCCTTCACTAGCATATAAGGCCTATGCCTTCAGGATATTTTTCTAGGCATGGGTGAGACCTCCATCCTTCTGTAGCATGAGGCCTATGCCCCCCCTTCTTTTAAGCATGACTGAAATCTCCATCCTTCTGTAGTGTATAAGGTCTGTGTTTCCAGGAACATCTTGCAGGCATGACTGGGACCTTCGTGCTTTTGTTGCTTTCATTTCTTTTGTGACAAGTCTTTCCATTTAGACAAAATGGTTCCTGTACACATTCAGCACACAGACTGACTTTTTTTTCTTTCAGATAAAATCATCTCATTACAGTTCTGTTTCAGTGAAAAGCCTTTGTGCATATATTTATTATGAAATGTAAATGCTTGACTGATGTGTTGCCAGTTACATATGTGTAGTATTACACAAATTATATCATACTGTATGCGTCTTATTTCACCCATTATATTATTATAGAAAGTCAAGAGTGACACAGCAGAAGTAGAGAGTTCCATCCATTCTTTTCTCTCAGAACGTGGAGACCTGGACTTTGCAGAAATGTTGTGGTGCAAGATGAGGAATAGTAGGTGACACCTTTTGATTCTAAAACTGAAATCCAGGCAGGTTGAAATGCATTGTAGTCCAGTTTTGCCTTTGTTCAAAATGTATTTATTTTTTTTGAACTTTTATCCCCACTAACGATATAATTGACAACCTTTTCCTGCAGCCAGCTGTGATTGTAGCTCCATACAGATCCAGGGTACCAAAGATTGCCCATGTCGGCGATAAGGCGAGATAAGTCATCAAGTTATTAATAGCTTAATGTGCAGCCATTTTGCAGAAGTACTTATCTTTGGGCAGGCCAAAAAAGAATGATCTAGATCTGCGGGGTCATGACTGCATTTTAGACACTTAAGAGTGGCTGAGGCCCATGAAGTAGGATCTGAGTGGAGAAAGATGTGCTCCATGATAAACTCTCTACCATCTCCCTGAAAGCATAGTGTATCATTATTAATGGCCATTTTAAAACAAAGAAAATGCTGTTAAATAAGAACTTCAGACAACACTTGTATCAACCCTTGCAGAGAGGCTACTCCTGTACTACAAGGGTTAACTGCTCATTTTTGTCTAGGTGCTAGAAAAAAAAAGGTTATACTCACCTGATCCTCGGAGTCGGCTTGCTCTTAGACCGGTTCCTGGAGCCTTTCTCCCTCTCCGCTGCATTGGTCTAAGGTCCCATAAATCATCATGAGGATGCTGAGGAACATTCCACTGCTGCAGTGCAGAAGTAGAATGGCTTTAGCTGCAGGGTTAATAAAAGTTTTGCCCGGACTACTTTAATTTCGTTGTGACAGTTTGATGCCACTGATCTCTTCGCAACTACTTCCTCTTCCTGCAAATGAATACTAATGAAACTTTTTTTTTTTTTGTATTTGTTATACAAGGCGTCTCCTGTTACCAAGATGTTGTAACCTGCTTTTCTCTGGTCATCCAGGCTATGAGACATGGTGAAGTGCACCCTTGGGTAAGCATATTACACCCGGTACTGTAACTATATACCAATGCTACTACACAATTATGCATTTCAATTTCCATATGAACCCCATTAGTAAGAGTACATTAGTAAATGTAGAAAATTTGCTGACCTGAAATGGTGAGGTAAAGAAAAGAATGCAAAATCATGCCATTGGCTTGTTTGTAGATTTGTAGATTAAATACACACAACCACCTGAAATGCTCATTTGCTTCTCTCTTTAGCTGCTTCATAACTTTATATAGCATGTAGATCATTCCCATCAGTCTTCCCTCAGAGGGAGGGAATCGCTCCTAATGCAATCACACACACACACACTAAGGCCAGTGTTTGGCAAGCGCTAATTAAAGGAGAATTATTGGGAAAGTAAAATGTACTCTTCCCAATAGTGAGCCAGGCGTGTGACACTGCAGCTGTCACATGCTGGCTCTAAAGCTCGAGACCTACGCGATCAAAAACTACTAAACACTCAGCTCACAATCTTCTTCCTGCATAGAGTGGTAACTGTCAGTCACCGCTCCCTGCACGGATTTCCCCCTCCCTCCTCTGTTCCTCCAGCGCTCATTGGAGGACAGACAGGGGAGGGGGCAGCCACAGCTGGCTCTAGAGAGCCAGTTGTCCGGCAGCAGGGTGGTTCCTGATAATATTGTCAGGATCTTTCCCGGCTGCAGTGCATATATATATATATGCTGACTTTGGGTCACAGGAGCACATTAGTAAATATACTCATGTGACCCAAAAGAGAACAAATGTCCAAAAAAAGGTTTGCCTATAGTTTTTTTGTGTCTGTGCACCATTGTGGAGATTTTCCGTTCCTTCCCTGTGACACAAATGGAAGTGAAAAGACATAATCTTCAAAGTGAGGGGAATTTCCCCTCTAAAGGCTCATGTAGACATGCCTTGTTTTATGTGTTTGCTTGCATTTGAAGTGTGCTTTAATAGCAGGTCTGAATATTTCTCTTCACATAAATTGTTTCGTATAAATAACTGTTCGGAAGCTGTGTTCGACTCCAGGTCAAATGCAACTCCTGGACCCAAACACATGCATTTGATAAGTACTGTAATTGATTGCAAAGTGCAGAATTTTCTAAGCAAGCCTTTAGACATTTGTCACCTTAATACGCGCTATTGGAAGTTGTCAACTCACCACCTGTTTCAGTGACAGCTGTAACATTTTGGACTTTCCATCCCTTTCTGTCCAGGTTACTGTGGTTACCAGGATAAATAGAAGGGGCTTGAATCAAAACCTGACGCAGTTTGCAACCCCCCTACCCTTCCGCAAGGGTTTGGCTAGAGATGCATTTAAATCTTGCACTGGGTGTGTGTTAGTTTGCAAACTTTTCCTGGAAGATTCCTGGAAACAGAGTTATCAGGTAATCAACTCATGTTTTCCAGTTGTCAATGTAATTTTTTGCAACTGCCATTCACAGATCCATCGTGGGAGCAGCAGTACCCTGAGCCAACTAATACAACAATCGTACCACGGAAAGATGGAAAGTATCCCTCTTTCAGGCCTTACTCCTATCCGCATGCTGCTTGAGATTGGCCTAGACAAGATGAAGAAAGATTATATGAACGCCTTTATAGGTTAGCAGCCAAAGCACCTTATCTGTGTAATTGTGTATGAGGAATGGTGCATGTCATTAAAAATGATTCATCCATCTAAAAGTATTTACCACTTCAAAATGCCTTTAGCAAATCAATTTGAAGTACCTGTTTGAAAACTATATGCCAGAATTCTGTCTTTGTCAAACATATCCAATTGGAACAGCTGTCATCACTACACAAGTCAGCTAATGAAATGCACCTACCTGCTTGCTTTGTATGTTTGTTTCTCTTGCATTCATTGAAGGACACAGCTGGATCCTTAGGATCTTTACCATATGGGTTTTATATCTCTACCTGCAGGAATAGAACGCTAGGCAAAACCCAAAGAAACAGCCCAGGGGCAGGGCCTGCTGTTGGCCAAACCCCCCTGACTCCAACAATGAACCCAGGTGTTTGCCTATCGTTCAGCCTCTGGAGAAACTGCTCAAACTCCAGTCACACGTTTGTCAGTTGTGCGATTTAGGAAAGGTTCTTCTCTCTTAGCACTGCCATGAGCACTGGGTCTGATGGTGGACTCGTTCGAGCCCTTAGACAGGGTTTTACACCTGTCTCATCAGGCTAAGACTTCCCTGATGTGGTGGCTACAGTCTCCGATGTTACGGTCTTGGAAGTCTTTTCTCCCTCTACGATGGAAGATATTCATGGCAGATGCCAGTCTGTCCAGCTGGTGAGGAGCTCCAAGTCTTCTTTCGGCCCACGGACTGTGGACCGAGGAGGAATCCAGGTTGTTCATCAATGTCCTGGAGCTGTGAGCGATCTTCCTGTGTATCAACGCTGGACAGGTCTTGTAAGACATCCAGTCAGTCCTTTTGGACAACACCACGGCCGTAGTGTACATCAATCATCAAGGCGGCATGAAGAGCTCTGTGGCGGCGCGGGACGTGACTCAAATCCTGTCTTGGCCAGAAAATCACGTTCTGGCTCTGTTCGTCGTTGACATTCCAGTGGTGGAAAATTGGTAGGCGGATTATCTGAGCTGTCAGGCTCTGGACCAGGAGGTGTCTTGTCAGATCTGTCTTCGTTGGGGCGAGCCAGGCATAGATCTCTTAGCTTTCATGCTCAATCGGAAGGTTCCGAGGTTCGCTGCATTTCCTCCCCACAAGCTGCTCCCCCGCCTGTTGCAGAGGATAGAAATAGAAGGTATCCCTGTGATACTGGTGGCTCCGGACTGGCCCCGTCGAGCCTGGTATGCAGAGGCGGTTTGTTTTCCATTGCAACTGGATCTTCTTTTGCAGGGTCTGAACTTCCACCCTGCTTTGCAGTCGTTGGCTTTGATGGCATGGCTGTTGAAACCCAGGTACTGAAGGATAGGGGTCGTTCCTCTGCAGTGATTTCCACTATGCTACAGGCTTGTAAGTCTAGTTCTCGTTCTGTTTTACTATCGTACACAGATAAATTACTTTGCCTGGTGTGAGGCTAATGCCTTTCTCCTGCGTCGTTTCTAGGGTTTTATAATTCCTTCGATAGGGGGTGGATCATCATATGCCGTTGAGCACTGTCAAAGGTCAGGTATCTGCCTTGGCAGTTCTTTTTCAGCGTCCTATGGTTCATCCAGGGTGTCGCTCATCTGGTTCTTCCTTTGAAGCCGCCTTTGCCACCATGGGATCTGAACTTGGTTCTGTCTGCCTTGCAGAAGCCTCCTTTTGAGAATATTCAGGACATTCCCTTGCTGACTTTGTCTAAGAAGTTTGCCTTTTTGGTGGCTATCACATCGTCACAACATGTGTCCGAGTTGGCATAGTTGTCTTGTAAACAACCTTTTCTTGTGCTCCATCGAGATAAAGTAGTGCTTCGGCCTCGGACGCCTTTCCTGTCTAAGGTGGTTTCCTCCATTCATTTGAAAGAGGACATTGTTTTGCCATCTTTATGTCCCAAACCATCTCATCCTTAGGAGGTGGCCATTCATTCCTTGGATGTGATCACGGCTATTAGGGTCTACCTGGGGGCTTCGTCCCCCTTTTGGAAGATGGTTTCTTTGTTTGTCATCCTAGATGGTTCTAGGAAAGGACAGGCGGCCTCGTCGGCCACTATATCCAGGTGAATTTGTCATACTGGATTCAGGTGTATGTCCTTAAGGGTTGAGAGCCTCCATTTCTGGTCACTGCCCATTCTACTCGGGCAGGGATGGCCAAACTCCGGCCCTCCAGCTCTGATAAAACTACAAATCCCATGAAGCATCTCTCTCCGGGAGTCGTGGCTGTGAGAATCTTGCAAAGCCTCATGGAATTCGTAGTTCCACCACAGCTGGAGGGCCGCAGTTTGGCCAATCCCTGTACTAGGGCTTTGAGTGTTTCCTGGGCTTTTCATCACCAGGCTTCTGTTGTCAAAGTTTGTAAGGCAGCTACGTGGTCTTCTGTTCATGCCTTCTCTAAGTTTCTTATACGGTGGATGTTGCGGCATCTGCAGATGCGAGTTTTGGCTGCTCGGTCTTGCAGGCGGAGGTGTGAACGTCTTTTTGACTGGGTGCGTTATAGTTTGTTGTTCTGTTTTCCTTTGCCCACCCTCTATTGCACTGCTTTGGCACATCCCATATGATGAAGATCCTAAGGATCCAGCTGTTTCCTTCAATGAATGGAAGAGAAAATTAAGATTTTTTTACTCACCGTAAAATCCTTTTCTCTGCGTTCATTGAATGACACAGCCGGATACATAGGATCTTCACCATACAGGTTTTATATCTCTACCTGCAGGAGTAGAACCCTAGGCAAAAGACCCAAGAAACAGCCCAAGGGCGGTCCCTGCTGGTGGCTAAACCCCCCTGACTGCAACAATGAACCCAGTTATTAGCAAGCAGAAACAAAAAAAGGTTACACGGTAAAATCATGAGGGTGGGTGCTGTGTCCTTCAATGAATGGAGAAAAAGGATTTTACAGTGAGTCCAAAAATCCTATTTTTACGTTTGTTGACAAGGGGACCGTAGTTTTTCCTCTGTTCAATACAATGGCTTTAACATCAGTAGGTTTCGCTGCCTTAATCCTAGAAGCAACCGTGGATTGCATATGCACTTCTCACTAAAGTCATTTATTTCATAATCCTAACAAGATTTCTCTTCAACAGGTCGAGAACTTGCAACTTTTAATTACTTGGTAAGTTAAATCGTATCACTTGCCCCTCCCTCTTTGATTGTAAGCTCTCACGGCCAGGACCCTCCTTACCATCTTGTCTTGAATTGTATTGTAATGTCTTTCCTATATTGAGAAGTGCTGCCCAAAATGTAAATAATAATAAATGGTAAATCTGATCTTATTGTAAGCCTTGAGGAAAGTAAAATAATGTTCTGTTAAGCCATGTTTACTAAATTCAGTGATTTTGTGAAGGCCAGGACTTCAAAGGCATTCTGCAGAGACACTTCTGCAACTGTTCTTGTTTTTTGTGTGTGTTTGTCAAGTAAAGAAAGAGGAGCTGTGTGCAGTCATGCAGTGATAACGCATACCAAGATGTGTTAAATGTGCGCATTAGGATATGTGAAAAGACTAAGGACCCAAGTCATGATTGTGCATTTAGGCAAGCCATTCATTGTGAATAAGCTGACAGCGCAGATTAACACACAAAAAAAGTGACACAAACCTTTTATTTAATGCAGTGCACAGTGTGTTGTAAGGTGCTGCAGCACAGGTATGTTTGCCGCTAATGTAGGAGTGCGTTGGGGTACCATTCATAATTATTTGCAGTAACAGGCATCTGTGTGAAAGGCCCTTACATGCCCATGGAAGTGAGCCAAGCCTTAAAGGAGAACTATGAGGTGAGTGCTTTTCACTCCCCTCATAGTTCTAGCCGACCTGTGACAATGAGACTGTCACAGGTCGGCTCAGTAGATCGGGAAGTGAGCGAACACATACCAGCGTTCGCTCACCTCTCGATCCTGTCACGGCTCTCTGCCGTGACAGGGGAGGGGCTGGATTCCTCCCTCCCTGATCTGCCAGCGCTGACTGGCAGAACGGACAGGGGAGGGAGCCGGTACAGCTGGCTTTGCCTCTAGATAGGCAGAGCCAGCTGTCAGTCACGCAGCGGGGCGGATCCAGACATAATTGTCGGGATCCGCTTCAGCTGCGGCATCTTAGTATACCGCGAGCAGGTGCTCGCGGTATACTGCGGCGTCCCAGTATACCGCGAGCTGCAGCTCGCGGTATACTGAGCCTAGGGTGACGGGATGATGCTAATTTGTGTCCTCCCGTTACCCTAAGGAGAACTATGGGGAAAAGCCTTAACCCCATAGTTCTCCTTTAAGGAGTCTTAACTTGAAAGCTTCACTTTTTAAGCTTCACTAAAAGAGCGACTCTTTTATATAGTTTTACATGTGATTTGACCTAAAGGTGGCACCGACTTAATGCTGCTGAGGGTTGTAGATGTCCAATGTAGTTACCTGCACTCCTGTTGTGTTCCTTAGGATTACTTCATCAGCACATCCGTGGATCTGCAGGAGCAGGTGCATCGTGTTAAGAAACTGCATCATATGATGGAAGTGGTAGCTCATTGCAATGCTTTCCTCAGCCTGGAGCATGAGAATCTCTTTCCACTCACACAGTGAGTAATTAAAGACACTGATCCTAACTAAGTACTCACAACATTATTATAAAATGAATGGGAAATTTATTGTAATATTGCTAGATCAGAAGTCTAGACTAGTTCAATAAAATGTGCAAGGTCTACTTCACTTCCTGTTCATTCATGATTGAGGATCTAGTAAACATACTAGTAGTAAACGTACTATGGCCCCCTATGTGATAGCAATAAAGTCAAGTGTTTACATTTTTTTTAAAGTCACATATTAAAAAAAGAAATGTAAAGCCCCCACGTATATGCACATACAAACACAAGCACGCGTCGGGTGCGCCAACATGTGACAATAACTATTGTGCCATGATTGCGACATGTTACATATCGCCACGAACATCAGAGGGAGAGCAATAATTGTAGGGCCATCAATCACTGTTGACACTAAATTGATAAGCGGTAAAAGCTTTTAAAGCATCGCACATGGACAATTTTGGGTGTGATATTTTTTTTGCGATTTTAAGGCTTGACATGTTTTGTGTCTGTTTAATGGCCTGGACAGGAAGGGGGGTTTTACACCCCAGACTTCAAGTGGTTAGGAAACGCCTGTTAGAACAGTGCCATCACTGCCCACACATCTCTCATCCACAGCAACATTATATTTCCATACTGTGAAAGGGGTGGAGCATGTTTTTCTGAATGCCTCCCACAAAACACGGTCTGTATTATTACTATTTGAACAGGTAAAAAATGAACATGGCGGTGACTTTTCCAAGTGCATTATAGGGCATTTTTTAGATGGCTGCAGTTCATTTATGGGATATTTCACTTCTGTTAGTTTCCCCAAACAGACAATAAGTTCATTTGTTTCCTCCTGCACAGAATCTGTCTCAAGCATTACAAGGAGAACCCCTGGAATGAGCAGCATGTGTTTAAGCTCCCAATCAGACCAACCATTATCAGCAGTTTCTACCAGAAGTAAGTCTGAATGTTCAAGTTATTTATTTTCCAGTCACGCTTTTACATCTGCAAGTTTATTTTCTACTGATGGATTACAAGACTTTAGATCCAGATTGCATTCATCCTATATTGCCATTTGTGTATACGGTGGCATCTATGAATGGATATCACTGGGCTCTCCAGAAATACAAATGGTCTATTTTCTAAGGACTGATTATTAAAACCTACTACAGCCACTGGCTGTGCTATCCATTCCACAGTCGCAGAGGGACAGAATTACTATGCCCTGTATTATTATGGGTCTCAGGCCAGTCCTATTATGGTTGTTATAGGAGAAAATGACAAGATGCTATACCCCCCTTGTAATTCGTGCTCCAATGGGTTACTTCGTCTTTGTAATGAATGCTGGCAAACACATGGCGGCTTCTCTAAAAACTGTATACCCCTAAAATATAGTGTGTGATATGCAAGGTTTATCCACATGCATAGAGACCAGAGATATTGGCAAGAACATCCACCATAGAACAAAAAAAACTTGTCTCTGATGGGTGTATTTACAGATTGTGACAGGAGAGCTCAAACAACCCCAGGCACAGTGACAACAATCTTGTTAATAGGTTTTCCTTATTTTGTTAATGACCTTGTGTTTCCCTTAAGCTGAACTCCAGGCAGACACCGAAAACATGAATTATTGTCATTGGTAACCCAGTTGTATTGTTTAACTGCAGCTGAAATAAAAGCCAGGTTACCAACCTGACTGTGCTGTCTGGAAGGGCTGTGTAAGTCTCAGGACTGGCTGGACAAAAATACAAACCCTAGGCAGGTAAAACAGCTCCTATATACTGTATGCAGGCATAAAGGTCCCACACACTAAAGGCCGTGACACACTGCACGCGAAGCCGTGCAGAGCGAAGCAAAGCTCTCCGGCACGGAGCTTCGCGTGCAGTGGGTGAACTGAGTGCAGGCACATGATTGACTGCCCCTTCAGCCAATCGGCTCGTCCGTAACAACCAGCCAGACGTCGCATCCCGTCGCGCCGGTTTATACGCGCGAGCCGATTGGCTGAAGTTGAAATTGTTCATCTCGGCACGCTTAGCTCCGCGAGCTCTCGCCAGCTGGGGTGCCGAGAAGAAAATGACATGACACACTACTCGCAAAGGTAACGCGCCACCGCTTCACGTGCAGTGTGTCACGGCCTTTATGCAGCTATCATTAAATGTAATTGACCTGATATCAGCCTCTTGCAATACTCTATACAGGAGCACTCAGACTGGGAAAGGGAGGAGGGGGCACTGGGTTCCAGTCAGGCGTGCTGCATGCAAATGCGGTGACAGGGAACAGGTTGATGGGAGAGAACAGAGTGAGTAGGGAGAAGACCGCGTTGGTCTGCTGCTGCTTGTTTACTGCTCAGTCAGCAGGCTGCAGGTGGAGAATGGACATCACTTCCTGAATCATAAGTGGTGTCGGCCAACCTGGCTGTGCTGTGTAAATCAGAACTGGATGGAGATAAATACAAATCTATCGGTGGGTAAAACGGCTCCTTTATATGCATTTCATCTTTGTATTTAGTACTTTGCATGGAGTCCCAGTTTTAAATTGAGTTCTCTGTCATGCTGTTGCAATGTGTGTTAGATAATGTCACTAGGATTTGAATGTTATTTCTCTCTGCATTCTGCTGTAACTTGTTGGGGGTCCATTATGGTCTTTTGATATTTATGTTTCATATATTCATTATTTCCCTGCAGTTCACACCCTCAGACATGGAGACTGGAGATCATCAGTGGACATGGACAAAAGGAAGTAAAAACCTCATGGCAACTTAGTTACAGACCTCCTGTAGACCATTTGTCTGGTGATGTTCCAGGTATTAAACTAACATACTACATAATTCAGTGTGTACATGTACTTACATAGGAGCAGCAAGCAAGCGGCGGAAAGGAAAATTGGGTTCATCATCTCCTCAGCCTATACTACACATACCTCCTAAGGGTACATTTGCTTAACAACCAGTTTACAATTAAACCAGCTTCAAAGCAGGATATTGGTGAAAACGTTTTATATAATTAGTTTGGGTAGCTGAGAATTTGCACTAGGTACCAGGACTGCATATCTTCACAACGATGTTCTTGCTCCATTCATGATTTGGTTCCTGATCAGAACAGAACTGTCGGTGATATCCAGGATTGAGAGTCAATTATAATGCAAGATTGTGGGTGGGAAGGGGTTAATGGAAACGTGCAGGCTGTCATTGCTGACCTCCTTAAAATGTTAGCTTGCTTGGCTGTCTCTGGCTTCAGTATGCTGAGTCACTTCTCCGGAGCTAGCATGAAGCATAGTAGCTTGTAATGAAGTCAGCACTGCTGATTGTATACTTGTATCTCCGAAAGTAGTAAATGCTTCAGCATGGCAGCCAGGGAACTAGGAAGGAAATGTCCACAATTGGGGCCTACACATTTCTCTAAATGGTCACGTACAAATTTCTCATGATTGAATACAACTCAACATTAATGCTGATACTCTTATTATCATAAGAACATCCAGGACTTGTCCTCACAGTTGTTGTATGTGTATTTCTAGATTTACAAACTGACTTGACAATCAGTGCAGAGAATGAGGATGTTGCTTACTATCAAGTCCTGGTCAGCTGCAGTCAAGTGTGCTTCTGCTGAGATTCCACACAGGTACCCTCAGACACATTCTCCCATGCTGTACCCATATTGCTCATTAATGATTTCCTATTAGACTGTTTGTTTGTTTTTTTCAATGTATTCTTTGCATTGTTTCAACCAAGGATAATATGGTGATGTAGGAGAGCAGGCAAGCAGGGGCTATTCATTCACTTTATATCCTCTTTAGCAGGATGGATACTGTGATGATCCTTCATACATTTCAAGTATGGAATGTTACTGACACTAAAACTTATTTTAGTGCAGATCACTTCTATAAACAATGTGTGAGCAGATCCCTGTCTACAATTCAAATCGCCAGTGCTTATATGGATTTAGCTACAATACTTCAATTCCAGGGGTTATGAAGTACATGGGGGAGTGATCACCCTTTCCTTAGGGTAGAATCGGTATTCCTACTGAAATGAATTGTACCTACACAGCTTGCCTTAACCAGCTTAGCTCAAGTGATGTTTTCACATTTCAGCTATGGGCCTAGTATCCTAGGTGTATCCTAGATCCTTAGCTGGTTTAATACATTTAAAGTTGAACTCCTGGCACAACTAATTTGTGGTAAGTATTTAGATGTCTGCATAACTTTAATAAAAGTGCTCTTCTCAGGTCAGCACAGACATCACCAAGCTGCCTACACTAGTTTGTTTGGAGATTCCGTAGTGGCAGGTTTTACACGGCCTTTCTCTACTGCCCTGCTCCTCTGCACTCCAACTCTCACTCAGCCGTACTTAGTGATGCTTCTTGTTGTATGCATAGCAGGTTGCTGGGTGGAAAGAGGAAGGGGGACTGCTGTCAGTGTTTTGTAAGTGCCTGGACAGCACTGAGGAAGGCAGCAGTACAGTGATGTTCCTGCCGGCTGCTCATAGTACAGAGTGGCAGCCATGTAGAGGACTAATGAAAAGGTAAGTAGATACCAGCAACACCACTGTTCAGTACCCTGCTCAGTGCTGTCTGTTGTCTTCACTTGCAGAGATACAGCACTGTCAGTATAGCAATGCAGCTTTCCTTCACAGTACAATGCTGCAGCGATGACAGGGGCCTTCTCTGTCCTCCTGTCACTGCCCATGGCCCTGCTTACACTAGCTCTGGGTAGGCACCCTACATATACAGAAAGACCCGTAGGGTGCTTTACCAGCATATCCCAGCGGCTCTAGCTTGGGATACCTCTTTTGTAAACCCTGTGATGATGTCAGAGACAGTTTAGACGTTTCAATATTTCTACAATAAGGCAAGGTCAGGTAAAGATATATTTTATTTCATTTAATGGGGTAAGGGAGGGAGCTGTAGATATTTCTGTTGCCTGGAGTTAAGCTTTAAGCAATACGTGTAGTTCTATAAGTGAGACGTATAGTCTGTCATGGAAATTGATTAACACAATGTGCAAATATAAAACCATATATAATACACCACCAGTTTTAGATGACATCTCTATCAGTTGTGTCCCTGGACAAATGTCAGATGACGTCAGAAATGTCCCTGGACAAATTCCAAACAGTCTACAATCCAAACTGTAAAATTTCTTAAAAACATTCAGCAGCATTAACCCCACATTTTCTTGTATACGTCTATGCTGCATTCCTTTTTTCTGGCAAAATACGGAGTAAGGATGCTCTTGATGATCTTTTGCACTTGCCAACTAATGTTCTCACTATTAAGGGCTTAATGCAGCTTAGGGGGATGCCAAATGCAAGTCAGAAGGAGGTCAAATACACTTGCCGGTGAACTCTGAATGATCACAAAGGTATCTCAAATGCAGCCTAATGCACCAAAAAGCAAGCTGTAATTGCCTATTGACAGTAGTAAGGAACCTTAAAAACCTGAATTGAGTGACAGTAACCTAACGTGTTCCTAGTGGATAACAACATCCCTGTTTTCAAAATTAGCTAGTACTTTAATGTAAGTAGAAGGGATGTAAAGGAGATCCCAAAACTGGCCAGCTAAAGACCTCATATTTATTGACCACGACCAGTTTAAAGTCTGATCGCTGTCATTAACGACCATGTCTAAAAGGATAACGCCAGGTGAACATAAAAATGCGCCCTCAAGTCCAACTGCACAAAAATCATGACTGGTTTTATTCCCGGTTTTGTAATCACCTGCATATCAGAAATCAAGCTCAGAGTAGGAATACCGGTGCTATACGTTGATCACACTATTGCACTGCACTAACATATTTCAGGCACTGTAACCTGAAGGGGGAGTGCTTCACACGGGGAGAGCAGAGGCAGGACCTTACCACAGTTGTGTGAGTGAGCTGGCTGGGGATGGGGATTTAACACAGAAATCTCTGCACTTTGCACAGTGATTTAACTGACTGGACAGTACAACAGATATTTTGGGAAGCCAAAACAGTTCATATGTCGTTAATGTGCATTTATCTGTTTGGTTGGAGTTCAACTTCCCTAAAATGTAAATTCACCATTGCACATCAATAATGGAAAAAACTGACACATCAGCACTTTCATTAAGATATCATTCTGTTTCCTTCCCTCTGTATCTGGAATTACTGTACATCATGAACTCACATTTTCTTTGCGTTATTCTGTTGGGCTAAAAACAGTCTTCAATTATACTGCATCTGCATGCTGACTTTGCCACAGATGAAGTGATTGTTGTGATAGCACAGAGGGGGAATAGACTGCTGTGCTTGCTGCCACACAATATAAGTAACGGTGCCGAATAGAGACACCATACTTGCTGCACGCTTGGAGCAGTAACAACAATGATAAAAGGCAAATGTCCATTTACTGCCTCCGGTCACGGCTGATTGAATGTCACTGCTAAGCTTTGTGAGGAAATCAAGAAACAACTTACTGTCCTCAAAGCATAATTTACATAACAAATCTGTCACTTCTTCTCTTCTGCATGTGAATCGTGAACTTACTCCACCTTGTATCTGAAGAACACCCAATAAGTCCATCTAATTACCAACATGTGCATGGTGACTTCTTTTTTTTTTTTTTTTGCCGCAGGATTGTATAACATCTGAACTATGACAGCAATATACCAATCACTGTTACTTACTGGTGTTTGTAATACAAATCCTCACTAGGCAGTTTTATTTACCTCCAGTTATCTGCTATGGATGCTATGTTGTGGAGGGTAATTCTAACACTGCATTTCCTTTCTTCATCAGAGAAACAGAAGAGAAGCGAGTCACAATACTTCAGAGGGAGTCTGTGCTGGGCGGAGATGATAGTACTGTCAGGGATCTTATCCATATTCCATTGTATATGTCCTAGCTCTTTCTTCGCAGGAGAATCATCAGGAGCACAGCACTGATTAGAATGCACAGTGTACAGACTGTAGGTACCACAATCTCTGTCACCATCTCCATGTGGCTGGTCAGTGGGTCTAATGATTTGGAGAGAAACACTTGGATGAGCACAGATATATTTGTTGTTTAAAATAACATTGATAAAATTATTGATCTGCTGCCAATCGCTAAATATGTTTTTTATCTGATGAAATCCGAAAGCTGCGCAAATGTTAAGCATTAAGGCCGTGACACACTGCACGCGAAGCATCGCGGAGCGGTGGCGCACTGCCTTTGCGAGCAGTGTGTCATGTCACTTTCTTCTCGGCACCTCCGCTTGCGAGAGCTCGCAGAGCTGAGCGTGCCGAGATGAACAATTTCAACTTTAGCCAATTGGCTCGAGCTTATAAACCGGCGCGACGGGATGCGACGTCTGGCTGGTTGTTACAGACGAACCGATTGGCTGAAGGTGCAGTCAATCATCTGACTGCACTCAGCTCACACACTGCACGCGAAGCTCCGTGCCGGAGAGCTTTGCTTCGCTCTGCACGGCTTCGCGTGCAGTGTGTCACGGCCTTTAGTGTCTCCTTAACACCAAGAATGTAGCACAGGGAACATTTCTAGGCACTGGTGGAAGGTATAATCCTTGGTCCAGAGCAAATACCTCAAAACTAAAACCAAATTTAAACTTTTCCCAGTTCCTATACAAGGTGGAAAGTAGAACCAACAAGTAAGAATAAAGCATAAAAACATGTCTTTAAAAGTCTTCTTTTTTTAAGTGAACTGTGATCCTTCACCAGCCCCAAATCCTTGGTCCCGTCAGCAGGCTGCACAGAAGAACCGCAGTACTCTGTGTGAGAGCAGTGGTCTCACTACAGTGGTCTGACCCTCCTTCCACACTGTATCTCGGCTACTGCTCTCATTTCAGCAATGCTCACATTCCCCATACAGCAGCTGTGACTCTACAGGGAACAAATTGGGCTGCTGCTCACAGGGGTCCTTCTATGCAGCCTGCTGACTTATTTTTTTTTTTTTGCTGCAGTCAAATGGAAGAGGGTAAAGAATAAGTGATTGTAGCATATTTATAGCCGACTGTCTTAATCCGGGTAGAAAGCTGCAAATATGAAGCCATTTCTGTGAGATTATATATCACTACATTTATGATATGTCACTTCTTTGTGAAAAGCACATCTTACCATGAATAAGCCGCAGAATATTTGCAGCCGTATTCCTCTGTTCCTCTGATTTTTCAAGAAGAAAACAGAAAAAGGGGTAGGGAACATGAAAATCGATCAAGACGAATTCTTGCACAATCCCTGGTTGCTTGGCCCAGGTCCACAACATCACAATACTGGGTGTCACTAGATGAAGCAGTGGATCTGAACTCACTGCTCTGACCTTACACACCGCATGTTCTGTGCATCTCACAGGGGATTCTATAAACTATGATTTCACTCTGAGTGTAATGTGTGCATCACTGGTGGGGCCATTATCTAAAAATCGGAAGAAAGAGAAGAGGCTGCAGTAAATCGGGTTATCCTTTCCATTCTCCCATCCTTAGAAGAATGGAGAGGAGAATCTGCTCACCATGTATAACAAGAAGAGTACTTTCAGATTCTTTAATAAAAACCTGAGCCCACTCCTGATTTCAAGGAACAATGGGTTTAATGGCTAATCAGAACTATTACAGAACGGACATTTAATTATAATATTTACTATAAGAACAATCGTAGAAGCCCGGCCATGCACTCATAGTGATGCCTAAAACCAGAGATCTTGCTCTCAGCCTCCCCTATATGACACATTGTGTGAATTGGCTTTCTACATACTAGGAGAAACTCATCAATCACTACAAATGAAAGGCCACCATTGGCCCCTTCTAATATAAATGATCTCCCATTTGATTCTGTTTACCGTGTTAATATTTAACACGCCGAGGTTGACTGTCTTATGTCCCTCCTGTAACTTTCAGTGAAATGTCTAGGCGGTCGTAGAGTGGTCCAGCATTTTGTTTAACAAACACAAACTAAGGGCAACCGAATTGACTTTATACCCGGTTTGCCCTTCCAAATGGATCATATGACATCAGGTGTTGATTAGGGTAAATTTTTGGGAGCTTTAAGCAAACTCATATATTTTTAGGTGTTCTTTTGTTGAGATATGTTTTACTGGACTGTTCCTGACATAACTTATGATTATATATGCATTTCAACGTTCCTGTCCTGTATCCTTTCTGTTTGTAGGTTGTCGTATTGTTTCTTCGTGTTTTTTCTTTAACATTTTCACTTCACCGTGGTTTTTTTTGCATTTATTTAACTTGTGTTAAGCACACATTATAACATTGGTTAATAAAGACATTGAACTGGTCTCCAGCCTACCAATGGTAATCATTTCATAATGAAAAAATAGGGCAATTATATATAAAGCATATAAAAGGCTAGCATGCTTACAGACGCTACTTTAGTATGCATGACCAAATCTCCATTGTTTGTGACTGCCTTGGGACGGCTCCACTCCTATGCTTTGTGGTAACATTACTGCAACGCATGGTAGCACACCAAGCCGGTATTAGTGTGTTGTGGTGCCATTCATTTTGAATAACACCTGAACATGCAAAGGGAATTTAGTTCACCACAACACACAGGAACGCACCACTGTGCGTTGTGCACTGCATCAGGAAGCGCAGGTGTGTTTTTTGGTTCGTTTTAGGGCACTGTCAGCCAATTCAACTGATGGGCTGCCCCAATGCAACACACTCTAAACTGCAAAGGTCTGAATGTGGCCTTTCTGTTATCACTCAGCAGTTGTGTTCATGCCAGCCTGAACATGCAAATAATTGCACTGATAGGGCAATCACATACTGTATATTATTATACAGGATTTATACAGCGCCAACAGTTTGCATTTTTACAATATAAGGAAGACATTACAGTTACAATACAATATGGTAAGGAGAGCCCTGTCATGTAATGAGTCTATCTCATATATTAGTTTCACCTTATAAGTTGCATTAGTGAAATAAATGAACTTTTGCACGATATTCTAATTATTCGAGTTTCCCCTGTATAGTGTATATAAGGTTCAGTGTTTGTACCATGCATTTGGGGCTGCCTAAACATTTCCCATGTTCTGTTTCTAGGTATAACCTATATGTTGCATACAGCCATGTACGGGGCTTTTGTTGCAGACTGATCTGTTTTGCAAACAGATAGACACACACACATCGTATGTCCTTACCTGCAGCCAGGAGTTGGTTTGTAGTGGAGCAGGTCTCTGTTGCTATACGGTGCCAGTTTTCCACCTGATCAAATCAAGCTTTAATAAGTTGTTTGCAGGATATGTACAGGCCGCTTCCACTCCAAGTTACTCTTTCAAAATGTGTTTTAAAAGCATTTCCAGCAGCGGAAATCTCTATTCTGAATCTGAAACTTACTAACGAATGAACAAAATGTGCCACAACAGGAAGTGAGAGCAAATCACTGGTAGCCAGTAAGGTTACCAGAACTGGTGTCCTCATTGGAAGATTTCTCATCTATTCCTGTTCTGTACTACCCACTTTCAGTGATAACGGTCACCATGACCAATGGAGGGGTTGAAAGTCCATAACGGACACAAACAATAGTGAAAACCTGACAAGTTCTATTCTTTCTCCAATCTATCCAAACGTAATGTCACTGACTGCATACAGTACATGTTCTAAGTTAGTGTCTAATGAAGTGGTGAAGCAAGGATAATTATGACAACCAGCGAGCTTTCACTTTCAAACACAGGTCAGCTATATCTGTGACCATATCAAATAATTGGCTTTCATTAAAGGGAATAGTACTCGAACAACCAGAAAGAATCTGGACAGGATCCATTTAATGAAAGCTGATTGTTGAATCATTTGTAATCACTGAGGATGATGCAGACAGGCACAGCTACTATGTATCTGCTATGCAGAAGAGTATACACATGTAGAGAAAACATGGCTGCCTGTGTACATGTAACAATGAGTTTTACAGAAGAAATATGTATAAATGTACATTACACTGATAACTATTATATCTGTACCCCAATAAATATAAGATTAAAATCATTTTCCTATCTCACATGTGTTTATAAATGGTAACATTTATTTTTAAACTTGCATAGAAATACATCCTGTTATCTAGTGTTCTATGCTGTCAGTAAGAATACAAATGTCTCCATAGGACCTCTGTTGTCTGATGACTTTGGTGTTAGTAGAACTATAGAACACCCAGCTTAGAAGAAAAGACTGTTGAGCAGGTTGGAAATCTTCAGCTAAAAGACTATGGTCACCCACCCAGGGACAATTCACATACAAATGCATGCTCTGACGATACAAATAAGATGTATATTTCAATGTTGGAGGTGGCGGGTCAGACTAAATAAAATCATAATCCCAGGATCTTAGTTGGTTATATACCCAAATTTATTTCTAGCTTTACTTTAGCTGCGAGCATCTTATAGATGCAACCTCCCTCTCCAGAATCGCTGGCCACTCATCTGTTGGGTGACTATGGACGAAAATGGCTGAGGTTTTGCTTCCTTAGTCATCTCTTCGATGGAGACTGCTTGATAGACATTAGTACAAATCTTTAGATTTCTCTGAGGTGCCTGTCCACCGGTGTTTTGGGGTTTTTTGCAGATGCTGGAGAAAAGTTCAGTTAAAGCTTTCTCTTACCTCTCGGAAATTAGGGAAGCCGTTGGCTCTCACAATCTTTTTGTAGAACTGAACAGAAGCTTTAGGATAACGAGGCTTGTTCTTGCTTTTGAATTCCACAAAGTAAAGTCCAAATCTTTCTGAAAAACCTTCATCCCATTCAAATTTATCCATCAGAGACCAGGCTGTGTATCCCTGGACATGAACCCCATCCTTTATAGCTGCCAGAGTGGGAGAAACGTTAGTCAATCTCAAATACTACAGTGGAGCACCTTGCTTTGGTTTCATAATCCCTGCTTACTATAGTAGCCCGTGCGGGCGATCGCATTGAAGGGAATGGCACAGTAGCCACGCCCCCTCCAGCCCAGCAAAAAAGTGAGCCGGCCGCAATGCGAGGCAGCGCGTTTCGGCCAGAATCAGACCGGAACGCACTGCTTATGGTGTGAACTAACCCTAAAGCTGGCCATACACCTATAAATTATCTGCAGATTTTCTGTGGTCAGATAGAAAAAGTACAACAGATTCCCACATCTACGCTAAGCTGTGTGGATGGAGGAATCTCCCACTGGGCCCAGCTTCAGTATTTTGCTAGTCGCCCTACTGGCTGTCAAAATACCTGAACAATCTGATTGGATGCAGGCATTGTTCAGGTGTTTTGAGAGCCAGCGGGGCTGACAAGCAAGATACTGGAGCTTGGCCCAGTGGGACATTCCTCTACCCACACAGTTAAGCGTGGGTGGAGGAATCTGTTGCACCTTTTCCATCTGACCACAGAAAATCTGCAGATAATCTATAGGTGTATGGACCAGCTTTGTGGGTTGATTTACTAAAGGCAAATAGGCTGTTCACTTTGCAGGGGAATTTGCACTTCGCAGGGGAAGTTTGCCCTTAGTTTAGTGAATAAAGCGAAGCTCTGCTGACTTCCGACACCCATTCATGTGCGAGAATAAAAAGGTTCCCCCCCCCCTTTACACATGATTGGATAATCTTTACAAAGTGAAGTTTTACCACATTCTTTAAGCTAAGGGAAACTTCCCCTGCAAAGTGCAAATTCCCTTTCAAAGTGAGCAGCCTATTCACCTATCATAAATCAACCCCTTAATCTCCTAAATCAGAAATCCAGAAAAACTGCCTTTTACTTAAAGATAGTTTCATTTGTAACTACTTGATGGTTATTGGTGCAGTTTGCAAATAAAGAACAGATGTAAGATCTTAGGAAATGAGTTGTAGTTTCCCAACATGCACCACTCACCGTTTAACATCTCATTGATATATCCTTTGAGGTATTGTATCCTCCATTCATCACACAGCTGGGCACAATGCATCTTCTCTGACACCCCGTTCTCTGTCACCAGCACCATTGGATTTCCATACTGGGTCTAACAAAAGCATATGTATTAGATCAGAATGGAGGAACTTAATAAAGTCAAATACAAATCTGTAAATATCACCTTTGCCAATGAATCGTGGGGCTCATCAACGTCAATGTTATAAACTAAAAACCAATCCCCCCATAGATCGGAACTGTGAGTAAATGGAGTCCGTGTTTAGTGAGTTTTTATCTCCAGGAATTTACATTTACAAAATTGTAATTTTGTGATCTACGCCAACAAATGATCAGTCAGCTCGCCCTCAAGAAAGTTTTTGTGACGAGTAAAGACGCCCCCTCTGTTCAGCTCTAATCAATGACACTTCCTTAAGCAAGTCCTGACAGTCCACCCAAGTAGCTTGGCAGTCAGAATTTAACTACATTTCTGTCTCTAAAACTGTCCGCATGAACTCTTCTGGTTCCTGGAATTAATTTTAATATGAGTTATCTCTTTAATCAATAAACCACATAAGTAAGCTTTACACGTGCCACAGATAGTATACAAAGGAGCAGAATCCCTGTTCAGAGCGATAAATTCTGTCAATAGGGCAGGAATAAGGTTGTGGTGTAGAAATAGTTTTAACCAGAATGCATTCAACCTCCAACCAGACGTAGGGGGCAAGTTACCTAGATATATGCATACCAATACAGGACAGTGATCAAAAGGACTTCTAGGAAAGATTACCTTTACAAAATTTAGAAGCCTCCGGAAACCCCACGGGACAGAGTAAAGCCATTTTGACTCCGGCTCAGGCCATTTGGGGTCAACCAGCTCTATCAGGTCTCTGTCAGTGAAGTAGCTGGGCCCCTGAGTAGATGGGAAGTTCCTGGTTGTGATATATCTTGTGGTGAAGTGGCCAACCCCAAGAAAGTCACTTGTGCCTTTAATGAAGCCTTTCTCTTGAGAGCTGAAGGTTGGGAGTCTGGAGATTCCTAAACCCTGTTGAGCACTCTTTTGACCTTCGAGCAGAAGACAATTTAAACATTACTTGACGACTGAGACAAAAGAATGCACATGTGCACAATATTTCTGAAGAACTTTTTGAAATGCTCCAAGACTGTAGACTAGGGTTACAATATCATTTTTTTGAGGAAAATTATACAAGCCTATGATGATCAATGATTGTAATTCATTCTGCTGAACCAAAAGATGACTACAGCCAGACTAGTAGTATATTTTGTACCACTGAACCCCAGAAAAAGCGGCAGATTTAGGGCACAATTCTCTCTTGTGTCAACAATCTAATCCTATTACCTATTTCTTTATTCATATACTACATTTGGTCATCTCTGATATATAAATGAGTATTAAACTATTACTACTAACATCTAAAGTCTACAGTACTTGTGTTATCCTTGAAAGATCATATGGTAATGTTTTCTTTTGAGTCCTTTAGGATGAAACACTAATTGGTATAACCCTGCCATTCTTTTATTGCAATAATTTTAATCCTTAGGAAAAAAATATGTATATATATATATATATGTATATATATATAAATACCGTGTTTCCCCAAAAATAAGACACTGTCTTATATATTTTTTGGCTCAAAAAACACACTAGGTCTTATTTTCGGGGAAACAGGGTATATGTATATGAATGAATAAAACCTTGCCAAGTTCTAAGGCCATTGTCACTGACTGCGAATATATCAGCAATTGCCACAGGTGTCATATCCCACTTTATACTTATTTTGGGATGCTACAGGCAAAATATCCTAATTTAATTATGTTTCTAAATGCAGGCCAACCTGACATATTCATTGGGAACTGCTGGAATTCTATAGAGATGTGGTATTTCTTCAATCTAATAACTATTAATAATTACACTATGGCCCAATCCTAGCTATAGAGTATACTATCTCACGCATTTATTAAGTTCAGGTCTCAGACTTGAACACTCCCTATTGGACCAGAGCAATTTTCACATTTTGCTATGGTCCTATTGATTCCTCACTAAACTTGTCATTACCTAACTATTCATCCCAGTACCATTTTAAAATGACAACCAGTCTTACTGGTTCTGGCAGGCCCATGCCGGCATGTTGGCTGTGACAGTCAGGGTCCAGCACTAAACCCAGGAGATAGAACGATCAACTCCTTTGCTTCCAATTCTTCCATGAAAGATCACTGCACTTCCTGTGAATAGGAGCTCTGTCTAGCGTCTCCCAGCAGCAATTGACAGATCATGGTCCATCTTTGTTAAGGGACCTTTCAAACATTAGAAAAAATAAACTTCTGTTTGGACATACACTTCTGTTTGAGACATACTCCTCCATTGAGTGCCTCTACTTCTTTCTATTTATCTACTGATGTTACTTTGCTGCAGTGCACCCAGGCAGATACTTCCTGGACAGTGTGCACTGACTGCCAATGGAGTATCTTATATACTGTATATATATATATTATCGGTATGTCGTATCAGTCCAGTAGAACAAAGTAAAACAAAAACAGAGTGTTGCAGTATGCAATGAAACCTTTCTTTTTGGACTAACATAATATTCAAAAGACAAACTTTGGAGAGTTGACCTCTCTTCTTCAGGTCTGAAGCAATACTATTCAACATGACAGAGTATTGCTTCAGACCTGAAGAAGAGAGGTCAACTCTCCAAAGCTTGTCTTTTGAATATTATGTTAGTCCAATAAGAAAGGTTTCATTGCATACTGCAATACTCTAATTCTGTTTTTTTTACATCCTATGTATATATAATTTGCCCCATTTAGGCTGGGTTCACACCTAGGCGTATTACGCATGCACGTCTGTCGCGCGACCGTCACGTGGTTTTTTTACCGCGATTCGCGGTAAAAAAATCGCGCGACCGCCGCGCGATTCTGAAGGCTACTTGGCTGTATCCCAATGGAAAACGCCCTCCAAAACGGCCCAAAGAAGTACATGTACTTGTTTGGGCGTCAGACGTTTTGTAGGGCGTTCAGACGGGCGGAAATACGGAAAGGTGTGAACCATACCCATAGAAAACAATGGGATTTTCATGGTTGTACGTTTTGTAGAGCGTTCATAGAGCGTTGAACGCCCGACAAAACGGAAAGGTGTGAACGGGGCCTAAAAATGACATTAGAATTATGATACTGGCACAAACCACTGCAGTGATTTACAAATGAAATACATGTTTTTTTCAATTCCTATTTAGGACTGATTAGGGTAAATTAGGGTTAAAAGAGAACTAGGGGGTAACTTTTTTTTTTCACCCGTAGTTCTCTTTAGGGTCATGGGAGGGCATATATTAACGTCCTCCCGTGAGCCAAAACTCATTATATAGCAAGCTATAGCCGGCCAGGACAGATCACCGCAGCCGGGACGGATCCTGACAGTACTGTCGAGCTCCACCCTGCTGGCTGATTTACAGCGGGCTCTGCCTATCTAGAGGCAGAGCCAGCTGTGCCCGCCCCCTCCCCCATCCGTTTCTCCAGTCAGCGCTGGAGGATCAGAGAGGGGAAGGGGGAATCCCTGCGGGGAGTGGTGACTGACAGTAACCACTCACTGCAGGGAGACTAGCTGTGGGAAGTGAGCGAATCGGCTGCAAGTTTCTGCTCACTTCCTGATCGATAGAGCCGACCTGTGACAGCTTCTTTGTCACAGGTCGGCTCTAACTATGAAGATGAGTGGAAATCACTTACCTTATAGTTCTCCTTTTAATAAGGGTTTAAATAAGAACACAATTTATAAACTACTTTTTTATTTGAACTTGTCAGATTACTTTAACTAACATCATATCAGATGGATGTTTAGGCCTTTGATATGCAGATGAATAAAACAGAGTAGATGCAAAAGAAGCACTGTTACTTTGTGACTCTCTAGTGAATGAACAGAGTTTATCAACACTGTGCCAGGCGATACATTTTATTGACAGCAGCAGCTTTAAGGTCTTGTTTACACCATATACAGTGAGTTCCAGCACGGTTAGCTGCTAGAACGCACTGAATCGCATAGTATACATCCTGCGTTCTGGGGCGGGAGGGGGCGGTGCGGTGCATTGAAGTCAATGGCACCACAGCCGCGACCCCCCGGTGCACCAGAATGCGTGGCACAGCAGTGCCCGCGTTACTGTCCAGTGCAACTGGAAAAAATGCTGCATGAACTATTGGACCGCACTGGACCGGAACACAGACATTGTGCCTGTGTCCTGGTGTGGATGATCACACTGCGAGTGGGGGTGTGTGGCTGCGGTGCTATTGACTTCAATGCACTGCCACGCCCCAGAACGCAGGGGGGGTTTACTATGTGATATAGTGCGTTTCAGCAGCTAGCAGCGCTGGAATGCACTGTATATGATGTGAACAAGCCCTCACAACTGCTGTATTTACACAGCGATAGTGATGAGCAAACTGAACTAAGTGTGCTTCACCGGACGTTTGCTGAACATTCCACAAACCCTGAACATAGCGCCTGAACCCCACTCGAAGTCTATGGGAACCAAATCTTGTCATTTTTTCTGCCCTTTCTTTCCCAATTTGAAGCTTTTGTTTAAAAAAAAAAGGCCATAGGTATCATGGAGTTGCCATGGAGGACATGTACCAATACAAACAAACAAATAATGTAAAAAAACACCATTCAGCTGAGAGCTGGTCTTTTAATATGGCCTAAAGGGCGACATTAGAAATACACAATTTCTTTTACTAACATGCTTGGGGGATGCCTCAAACCTGCATGTCAAGTGGTGCACCTGTATGATATAAATCTGCGAAAGTGACATTCAGAGAAAAAAAAAAAAAACTATTGCCACTAGCTTACATTTCTCGGACGCTTTTGTTTTGTTTGTAAAAAAAAGGCACAGGTCTCCCTACATACAAAACCCTTATCCTTAACAAGAAACTAGTATGGATTTGCAGTGGGGCCACAGACAAAACAAATTGTGTGGCCCCCCCCCCCACCGCCAAAATCTATACCAGAACAGTGAGCAGCACAGTAGTGACATCACCAAATCTCATGCGGTTGTAGGCACCGGAATGCCTTGGAACCCTCATATACCAGGAAGTGCAGAGTTCTAGACACAAGGAACATTTAGTACATAGTACTGCTTGGACACAGCAAACATTTCTAGCTGTTCCCTATAAGATGACAAATGTTCAATTCATGACTTTAGATCCATTTCACGTATGAATGCTCGCACTTGCCTATATATTCTTTCATGATCTGTGGGTAGTCTCCATTGTAAAGAGGGTTAGCAAACCATCCAAAATTAAACTGAACAAATCTCTCTGCAGCTTCAATATCCTTCTGACTGGAGATGTCCACAGGTTCCCCCCACTCTGTAGTCAGGGAGATTCCAACCATTCCTAAGGAAAAGAGACAAAGTCACACACACATTGCACTCCTTAACAATAGAGCAAAGCAAGAAACTACATTTGTATTCAATTATTTCATTTAATATTTGCAACAGGAACACTGACACAAATCATTTTTAAATGTGTGTATAGCCAAAACTTTTCTTTTTGGACACACTAGGAAAGGTTTAAAGAAGAACTCCAGGGAAATATATTAACCCTCGCAGTGGGACTAGCCCTGTACTGCAAGGGTTAACTGCTCATTATCTTCTAGGGACTAAAATAAAAAAGTTATAATCAACCCTGGAGGCGGCTGGCTGTCACAGTGCTCCCTCCAGCCTCTCTCCTACGCTACAGCAATGGTATGTCCCTCCAAGTCCTCACACCCTCTACACAAAGTATAGAACATGATGACCCGAGGATCCTTAGACCGCTGCAGCAGAGGAGGAGAGAGGCCCCAGCGACCTGTCCAAGGATCAGGTGAGTATAACTATTTTCAGCCATATACCAAAACGAGCAGTTATACCTTGCAGTGCGGGGGTAGCACCACTGCAAGGGTTAATTATATTTTTCCCGGAGTTCTGGTTTAACATCAGTTTTTTTTGTTGTTGTTTGTGTCCCATTGAGGATATTTCTAGACATGTGCATTCGGAGGAACCTGCAAATCAATGAAAATCAGTTGATTCGGCAGTTCGTCCAAATCCGAAATAACAAATGTAATATATGCCCGAATATACTAAAACGATATTTGGGCATACATAAATTCGTTTTCAGAACACGCCGGTGGCCATATTGGCCGCCGGCGTGTTCTGCACATGCCCGCCTCCATCTTGGAGGCGGAGCGTGTGACGGCACACGCTGATCAGCCACCGGTGTTCTGTCGAGGATGCCGACCCAGTCGAATTTGCCGACCTGACCATCTGCACTTGTGCACACACCAGAATGAACGAGAAAACAGCCATTTATTTACAAAGTATTTCTTTCTAATTGTTAATTGTGACCGTTCATAATATGCCATCCATGGCTGTCAATGATGGATGGCATTTTATGCACATTCACAATTAACATTGTAAGCAATCACATAATAAAGTGCTAAATCATAATATAATCTGTCTTATTTTACCTAGAATAATCCATAGGTGGTATTGTAGAATTTCCTTACGAAATAAATAAGACTTTAGAATCAAGATCTGTCTCATGATGGATGAATATGTAACTTGCAATTAGCCAGTGACCTGACGTGTGTATACAATGATCAGAAAGGTAAATTGTTGTTGTTCCTCGAAAGTCTTTACTATAGCAGCCTTTTCCCAACTAGGGTTCCTCCTGAGGTTGCTGGGGGTGTCTTGTACAGAGAGCAGTGGTGAATTGATCTCCCATGTACAATGACCAGAAACAGGAGATTTTCCACTGACTACCAATGTAAGGAGCAATTTCTACAATGGCCACTCATGTCAGAGGACCCCACAATTTTTGTGCCATCTTCTTTTCAGTGTACTATCATTCATTTCATTTCAAGAATACAACTTAAAATGGGTGCTAAATACTTTAGGTGCATGATGTTCTTTATTCTCTTTTTTAGAAGGGGTTTCCCAAGACCTGGAAATTATTTCAAGGGTAAGCTAAGGAAGGCTGCTTCATTCATCAATATCAGTTTATGAATACATTATGTTTTTTTATTCCAGGTTTACATTTGTGAAATCAGTTCTTAGTAGACAAACTGAAACCTATAACAGTTACCAACTGTTTCAATGTGACAACCCTTGTGTAAATGTGAACATGTAACTATGATGACGTATTTACTAAGGACATTGAGAACATACCTTTCTGCTTGCTGCGCCAGTATTTGTTATAGCTGTGCCACGTTCTGGCATGTGCCTGCAACATATAGAACACCATGTATTGTTGGCTGCTGTGTAAAAACCGGTTAGTAGACTGAGGTGTATTTTTTGTTATCAGGTATTTGTGGACAGGTTATAAACAGGAGGGAGGCACAGATCAAAAAAGGCATTTTCTTCCTATACAAAAAGTTCCAGATACAAGAAGCAATTGCCATGCATACAATACAAGAGAGGGAATTAGGAACGAGGATGAGGGGAGCAGAAGGTGAAAAAATGAGGGTGCAACATCCCAGGAATACAAACGTACTGTAGGTTCAACTCCCATTGTGCCATAAGAGGCGGAGGTGTACATTTAATAAAAGTGAACCAACTACAATCTACAATGTATTTCTGTGTTTGTGTGTATTACTCACCTTGATGAGGTGGTGTGCAGCCTTGTATGACCCAGTCCCTCTTAGCTTTAGGCCTGGTGCATGTTCTCCGGTCTCATAGCCTTCAACTGCCACAGACTGTTCAAGGAAAAAAGGTGGTCATTTTTTTCTCAAAAGCATGGTTGTTACTGAGAAACATAGAAGAGTGACCTCAGCAAAAGACCAAGTGATCCATCAAGTCTTCTGCTCTTTGATCTTTTTTAAACTTTTTGTTTGCGCATAGATCTATGTTTGTCCCAAGCATGTGCACAACCACTCTTATAGTAGGGTCAGTTTTAAACTTTCCTCCAGCTAGCTTGAGGTTTTGTTCCCGTGTTCTTGATCTTAACTTCATATTGAAAATACTGCTCTGCCTGAACTGTACTCACAGCCCTAGAAAAGGAATATTACCCATATCTATAAAATAACAACAAGCACACCTTTAGAAGTGTTTAGTAATAACAATCTACATACACATACTTCTAGATAATTGCCGGCTTTGTATTCTTTGCATTCCTTATTTCTCTTTCCCAGTCTTCTGACAATGGCCATATTTACTAGGGGCAGATTACTAACTCTGCCTTTACTCCCTGGATCTTTGGCACATGTGACTAGGACATGTGACCATGCACATCCGCTTAGGGGAGGAAAATGCCTTTCCCTGAGAGCTCATGAGAATACAGATGAGATTTCCCAGCAATGCATGCTGATGTAACCTTCCCAGGATGCAACGCTTTGAGCACCATTACATCATTTGTGCCAAAGTGGACCAGGAAGTGGATGAACTCTATTTGCAAGTAAATGAAAAACAAGTTTGTTTAACTAATGAATGTAAGATGATTTTATATCAGGATGCAGAGCTGTATGCTGATGTGATTTTTAGTAAAAGGGGGTAAAGGTCCGCTTTAATGCATTTACAGGTTTCAGTCATGCCCCCGCCTTTAGAATACTGTGTCCGGTTTTGGAGAGCTCACTTACAATAAGCTTTTGATCAAATAAAACAGCATGGGTTGCATTATGGTGAATTCTTCATTAGGAGCCTAGATTAAAATGCGATCCTGTTAATAACAATATGCCAATTGAACAGGATCTGGCTTGCCTATATACTGACACAGCTAGCTGTGCATAAGGTAGTGGTGCTCATTTTCTATCCTAAAGGTGCCTTCAAATAAGTAAAGGCAATGTTTTTTCAGTTTTTGATTGAGCAGGGAAGGGTAAGACTCCTTGTCAGGTTTTTATCCGTGTATGTGTCCTTGCTGGGGATATTCATGCTTTTATTTTTCTTATGGACCCTTGCCACCATGACAGAAAAAAAGGAAAATCCATAGATTTTGATTTGTCTATATAACAAGCGGTCCTCTCTTTTCATGTTGCATCTTCAAGACAGAAGTTAAGGGAAACCTCCCCAGTGGGAAACAGGCAGGAAAAAAATATGGGGTTTTAACTAGGGATGCACCGATACCAAGTACCGTACTCAGTACGAGTACATGCACAGATACTTTTCCAGCTCCAAGACTAGACTAGAGAAAAATTCAAAAGTTAGGAGGCAGCTGTCATTTGTAAGGATCATACGGAGCTCCCGGGATTTGTACATCTCTGTTTTAATGTATGATTTTGGTTTTATAAATATGATGCACCGATACCAGTTTTCCAAGTACAAGTACTGATACATTTTTGTTTATTATCATGTGACAGTTTTTTTAAAACAATATCGACTAATGATTTCAGTACAGTGGTGGAGTGCCAGAGCCAGGTCCCAGCTGCAACTGCGCAGGCCTGGTAGTTCTCATGAAAATGCCAAGTATCGGCACTGGTATTTGAAAAGTATCGGTGCATCCCTAGTTTTAACCATTCCCTTCTCTATCCTAAAACAATAAATAAAACGTTTTGGCATTACAAACACTTTAACCATTTCTTTGGGTATGGTATGTTGATTCTTACATTATCACTTAGTGAGTCAGTGACCTAGTATTAGCATACCAGGAGTAGTAGGATTAAGGATTTGTCACTGCTGATGACTTTGTGTCAAACAGTGTAAACAGGTTTCAATCAAAGAAGCAAACAGAGAGTCCGTAAATTATGAAAAGGGACCAAGAACTCCACTTGGTGGCTCAGATGCAGAAAACAAAATATTGAGATCTTATATTTACTTTTAGAAGAAAAAAAAACAAACAATTTTTACATTTGTATTTTTTAAATCCCTGCAATAATTAATGAATTGGGTACAAAAACACAATACATGCCCATTAAGTAGGATTGATTGTGAGGGTCACATCTGCCATGTGTCATTGACTATGAAAAAGGTGCACTAGCCAAGCTAACAGCTAGATTCAAGGCTAAAGATTATTTTCCCCCTATTTTAACAGAAAATGTTAATGAGCAAAACATGTTGGGCAACTAGCACTTTCTTGCATCACTTTTAGTACCTTTTACTACATCACAATTATGTTTTTTTCCTTACCTCCAAATGACAAGTGTGTCTTATCTGCAGCCAGCCATGTAGTGTAACTCTTACTCACCCAAGGGTTGCTGAATGTGATCCAGTATTTCACTCGATCACCAAATTTCTCAAAGCACAGGTTGGCATAATCATTAAAGTAGGTGACCATACTGATGTTCTGCCAGCCGCTGAATTTCTCCTGCAGGGTCTGCAGAAGTCATACAGATATAAATAGGTTACCCATACAGCATTGATGGAAGAAAATAGCACAAGTCTAGAGAGAACCTTCTACACAAGTCTTGCACATAAGCAAAATAGCAACATTTAAAAACAAGATGTATGCTGAAAAGTCACATCTTGTTTATGCGTTGTTTTGTCTCACTTAACGTTTGTGATATACATTACCCCTGTTGATTACAGATTATATAAATGAGAAAGCTCAACCTACTTTATGTATTTTCCATGTGAGAACAACCCCTATGTCCTGGAGGCTATGGCACATATCATAGAGCAGTACCAAGTAAAGCCAAACCATCAGTGAAAGAGGCTGCTTAGCACACATCTAGTTCTGTGGCATATTGCAATAAGTCCCCCGCTACTGCGCTGCTGAACTTAACAAAGCTGCAAGAAAACAGAAGAGTGAAGCTTCTTGCATTGAAATCAGACCGACCCTCAGTGACCTATTAATGTGCACAGAGTTACAATGGAAAAGGAATAATATTTCCAAGGTGCAAGTGCAGATGAACATCACTGGTATTCTATACCCTTCAGTATGACCACTTTCATGCATCTGACCTTGCTCTAAGTGCACAGAAAAAGTATAAATCTTGCAGCTTCCCTAACACGTAACTCATGCCGGAACCTTCATCGCTCTACCTCAACCCTAAAATTACCCTTAACATGACACAAATAACCTTACCCCTATTGTAATCTCATAACACTTAACCTTTCCCCTCAAACTTAACCTTAACCTGCTATCATTAAACTAAGCCCTAACACTAAACTAACTCCTTGTTCTATATACTCTGTGTGGGATCCTCGCACTCATACTGCTAGCTTTACACCCTAAAGAAGTTAGCATCAAGCAGCCATAACTCATAATTTATTTTATGTGGTGATGGATCTCTTCATATGCCCAGCATACTTTTGCCTGCTTCCACTGACTTACTTTATACATTCAATACAAATGACTAAAGCCTTAAATGGCTATACACACTTCATGAAAGACATAACAGGTTTTCATACGGCCTCCCTCACAGTGATCAGCAGCTTTTCAGGTTAGTAAAATTAGCAGTTTTGTGTAAGACTAACAAACATTTTCAATGTGCATTTATCTCAGGATTATATCGGCATATTCACTGACTTGATTTCCAAATTCAATGGTGATTCTGTAGGTAATATGATGGTAGGAACATGTATAATGAGTACAAAGTAGTCATAGACATGCTTACTTGAGACCACTCTGCTGAGATGAGGGGGGACGGGTTAACTGCAGGAGGGTGTACTGACATCTTTGGCCACTTGTTTTTAAACATGTAAGTTACTCCCTTGTTTTTAAACATGTAAGTACCAGAGTTGCCATCTTGCTTTACCACTGAGAAAGTTATTGATCCAAAACAAATATGGAGTCAGAGATGATAGCGTTCTGGACCTTAATATTTGTTCTCTGTCAGTAACTCAATTAATACAAAGATAGGAAAGGCAGCCACCAAATTGCTATCACTCACTTGGGCCTCTCACTGTTGATTTTCTCCTGAAAATGCTAGCTATCTGGCTTGAATACTTCCTCAGTCATAAACCTGGAACAAGTATGCAATCTGCAAAGTCAGGGTGAAGACAGAACTGTCAGTATTTATACTGAGCTGGGTTGGTGACTGAGAAAGCATTGTATGCAACAAATATTCTCAGAAGAAAGCCAGCCATGGTAGCCCTCCCATTATCTAATGACAGATTTTACCTAAGCTTTATTCTTCTTACATTTACAACCGTCATTCCATTTCAGCCTGACAGATTCTTCTCACCCGCAATTATATTCTCCTGCGTTTCAACAGTGAGTCTTTCAAGCCCCCTACATGGTGAGGATCTTTCTTGACTCCACTGAATTTGTCAGAATCATGCAATTGTTGTTGCTGAATTCTGGCCAACGTTTCTATGTATGCTGAGTAATAGCAGTAAAGAGTTCTAAGGGGCTTACGGCATGCTAAAGAACGTCCAACCAGAATTCTGTGACCACAAAGTACTTGTATATAACTTACGTGTGGCAAGTCCCAGTGATACAGAGTCACTACTGGCGTAATCTTGTTTTCCAAAAGAACATTAATGAGATCATTGTAGTATTTTATACCTTTTTCATTGACATTTTCAGCTGTAATAAACAAATATGAGAAATATATTAGGACAAGCGTTATAATTATAGAAGTGTAACCAGATAAGGTATGGTAAGGTGGGCCAAGAGGAACCAAACATCCCGCCAGTGAATCAGTGTGAAGCACAATAGAGCCAACTTAAAACAGAATGTACTTGCATGTCTGACTCCTTTACAAATCCTAAAAACGAGGGCTGTACTCCTCATTATGCAGAGCCATACTAATTATACTTTACATTGCTTCAGTTTTTAATTTCTTCTGGCCCACCTCATCAGACCCCGGTTAAACTTTATTGTTGCTTTCAAAGCTCTACTCCATAGAATCCTTTGTTTTCATGTCCAGCAATGATGATGGCCAACAAGCCTGATGTGTACAGTTTAGAATAAATCTTTCTATAACATTAGGCTATTTCTGTGCTATCAACAAGTGGTTCTGTATGTATAGTTGGCCATTGGGGTGTACAGCAATGATTTTATGGTTCCACCCACTATTCCAAAATGAGGAATTACCTCCTTAGTTGTGAGATTTGTGACGCAAGTAAGACAGGTACCTTGGTTTGAAGGCTCTACTGTGTTTCATAGTGATTCATCTATAGATGTACGGCATGGTGCCAGTAGTAACATGTGACTTTTATTCCTATTAATTGATACATAAAAATTGTGGTCTGTTTGATGTTTTTCTTATTTGCATCTATTCTAGTTACTAATCTTCACAATGGGGCATTTTTAGGGAGAACTGAATTTCACAAGCAGCATATGCACCATCAATGAACATTTTAAGGGAGCTGTTTCATACAATAAGTTGAATTTTCGAATGTAGCTTTTATTCTTCTAAGAAAATATTGAGATTTCCTCACTCATTGACATATGCAGTTGTGGAAATGTAGCCTCAAACTGCAAACTCAGCACTGATAAAGGCCACCAGAAATCCTAAAAGGAATCTTCATTGACATGTGTTTACACCAGGAAGGGTAGCTGTTCAGACACGGATAGGGAAATCCAGTACATGAGAAGAGATAAAAGAAACAGCGCCTTCTCCTTTTATTAAAAAAAGAATGTATAAATCAGACATCCATTCTACTCATAACTACAATCCAGATAACATCAGAAAACAATTCTGTCATCAATAACCCAAGTACGGAGAAAAGAAGGCAAAGGGGCCCTTCAGCATGTGATGGTGGCCAATAGCTAACGCGTTTCAGGGGTTAAAACCCCATTCGTAGAGCTCTGGAGAAGGGGGTTTAACCCCTGAAACACATTAGAAGCCAAAGAGACCCTTCAGCTATGTTCCATACTTGGGTTATTGATGACGGAATTGTTTGCTGATGTTATCTAGTCTGAACATGTGAGTAGAATGGACGTCTGATTGATTTGTTTGTTGTTGTACTAAATGGTATCACATGAGAAGAAGGCGCTGTATCTTTTATCTCTTTTAGTTGCGGAAAAATATATATACACTGCTCGACCAAACAGCCCAGTCAGGCACGTGTTCAGAAAGGTAGGGTGGCATGAAGTGGAGGGTGGTGGAGGAACCTCTCACATTGTACCACTTTGCCCCTAGGTCCTGTGACACATCCATGTAATGTAATGGTTGTCTATATATACTCACTTTTAATACCGGTAGGAATTAAACGAGGCCAAGAAATGGAAAGACGGTAATGAGAAACTTTCAGCTCTTTCAGCAGATCTATGTCCTCCTGCAACACACATTTATGGCTGAATATTATTCTCATTCATTAACAATTCCCATATACAGACAAATAAGATAAAAGGACAAAGGGAGAGAGATGCGTGAGTCTCAGAGAAGAGCATAGTCATCCACAGAAACCAATCAGATTTCAGCTATTATTTTTTGATGCATGTTTTGAAACTAAAAGCTCATCTGGTTGTAAGTACTAATCCCCCAATGTATCAAATAACATTACAAATGATAACATTAGCAAAGACAAGAGTCTGAACATATATAGAGTGAAACAATCAGCAGATCCATCTATACGTGGGAGACAAGTTGATCCATTTCAACATTTCCTTATTTTTCCTCTGGTTATATTATTAGTTGTAATCTTATTCCTGTATTATGTAAGGCCAATGTCTTCCTTGGTGCTGTACAGAATAAACAGTAACACAGTTGAAGAATAAACACATAAATCTGCATAGCAAAACATAGGCAAGAGTAAAAACTATGCCCGGACAAGCTTACAGAGCAGAGATGATGCTGGCCATACATAGTTCCATCTCTCAATTAGAGGGTCACTTAGGGGGTCTATTTATAACCTATTCACAAAGCCATCTACCCTATGAATCTTTCTGACCGTTTGTTCTGTGCAAACACAAAAATTAATCTTTTATATATTTTCTTTTCAGATCGAATGTATGTCATATTATACAGAATTTTGGTCACTAGATGGAGCTGAGGAGCATAGGAAATAAGTATTCATTTACTGTTCTCAGCTCCATCTAGTGGCTATAGTGCAGTATTACATTATATACATTCGACCTGAATAGAAAATATTCTTAGAACGGTTGTTTTTGCATCTATTCGCACAGAGCAAATGTTCAGGGAGATTTGTAGGGCAAATGGCTCTGCAAATTGGTTATCAATAGAAGTAGGAAAAGCAAAAATTCTTCAATTTGTTTCCCAGGTACATACCCTCAGAGACCTGCAAAACATTTCTCTGTGATAGAGTTAGCTATGTGCGGTCATGGTGTATGCACATTGTTCCCTTTTCTACGGAGGAAAAAGAATGATTACTGATTGGTCATGGATTTTACAACATTCCCTTTATAGCTGAATGCTAGGCACATATAAAAGACACAAATTAATCCAGTTCTGTATTCATTAAAACCTCATTAAGAGTACTTTGTAAATGCAAGCAGCGTATGTACTTAAATTTAACTTGCTGTCTGCCTCTTGCAATTCCTGTACAGCTGAGCTCAGACAAGGGCAGGGAGAAGCAGCACAAGGGGTCAATAAGCTTTGCTGCAGTGCATGGAACATGCTGATAAGAGGATAGCACAAAGCGACAGAGAGATGAGCTCATCAGTGTGCTCCTGCTCCTTCACTGCACAATGATGGGCTAGGGCAGGGGTCAGCAACCTGCGGCTCCGGAGCCGAATGTGGCTCTTTCATCCCTCTGCTGCGGCTCCCTGTCCAGGGGCAGAACTACCGCCGGGGCCTTGGGGCCTGAGGCTGTGGGGGTGCCCAGTGAGGTCCAGTCCTGGGCACTTCTATCCGACTTTGTGAGTGGGGTGGAATGTGAGATTGCACTCACAAAGTCGGATAGAAGTGACATTTCAGGACCGATCAGCTGTTCCAGGGACAGCTGAGAAAGCGTTGGAATGCTTGACCTATTGGCGGTCACACATTCCACCCCTAAAAAAACTGGGCAGAATTACATTGAAATGTGTGACCAGGTCACCGGTCACACATTGTAATGTAGTCACAAACTTTGATAGAACACCGTCATCAGGGGGGTACAGCCGGTACCCACGTGAGGGGTCTTACATGAGTATCAGCTGTACCAGGGGTGGCATGGCAGAGGTGACGGGGAGGGGGTGGAGGAGGCCAGGCCCCAGCAGCAGCAGGTAAGAGGAGTTGGGAGGAGGTACAGGGAAAGGGACCCCGGCGACCAGCCCGAGGCCCTGCAGAGCCCACCATAGAGAGTCTCAGATGGGCTGTGCAGGATCCATGGTCTGCTCTGCAGGGTCACTATCAGGTGGGCTCTGTGGGGTCTCAGGTAAGCCCAGAGTCCAGTGCGTTACTAAGCCCAGACTCCAGTGCGTTACTAAGTCCACATATACCTATACATAGCATAAAGGTAAAAAACGATATATGCAGCATTATCTTCATTTTAGATGTCAAAAGAGTTTTGTGGCTCCTGGTGTTTTTTTTTTCTGTGGGAAACGGGTCCAAATGGCTCTTTGAGTGTTTAAGGTTGCTGACCCCTGGGCTAGGGGAAGGGAGCAGAGAAAAGTCAGGTCGAGGCAGGACTGTGCTGTGTGGCTGAGCTATATAAATCTTAGAACTGGATGGACATTAATTGAAATTCTTTGGCAGGTAAACCAGCTCACATATATGTATTTTATTTGTGCATTTAGCTGGTTGCCCAGAGTTCAGCTTTAGGTTTTAATACACAAGTATGTGTGTAATGAGCATTTTGTCTTCACCTTGACCTTGTTGTATCCATCACAGGAAGAATCTGCCGTCTGATTCATGAACACTCTCCCTTTCTTGTGTGTAAATACATCCCATATACTCTTCCCTTTGCCATCCTGGTCCCAGGCTCCTTCAGTCTGATACGCAGAACTGCCCACTCCCCATGTGAAAGCTGTACAGAGGATACAAAGACACTCAGCTCTATGTCACACTATTCTCATAGGTTTTCATTGACCAATGAACTTACTGGGTGGAAAAGTGCCATAATAAAAAGATCCTCGCTCTGTCGGGGTCCACTGGAACTCCTCTTCTGCCCAGCCACGTGGTGCCAGTGACAACAGCTGGGCTACACAGAACACTGGGAACAACATTCTGCAGCAGAGGTGACGGCTGATTCACTGTATCTTTGGATAACAAGTATTGCCTGTTACAGAATAATCAATATGCAGCCCTAAGTCCTAATGTTAGCTGAGATTAGCATGATCTGCCTAACAATTTGCATATATGGTTTTCACATGTAATTGTATTTAGCTGTTTGGTAGGAGCTCTACAGCCACTGTAATAAATAAAAGCCATGTGTAGCCCTCTACTTTTATCATATGTGGTCTCTGATTGAATTAGGGTGAATTGGCCAAAATTTGATCTGTAGGTGGCCTTGCTGGCACCACCAGGCTCAAAAAAAAGTAGATTTTTGTTGAAGGAGCCGGCTGGAAAATTGGCAGCCAAACGGCAACTGCAGACAATCAGCTGGAGTCACTCTTTGGGTATTCTGAGCTTCCTGTCTGAATACAGTCGCCGCCAGGAGAGATTCTTCCACACACGGATGGAGGAATCGTGTGATTTCTCTTATTCTGCCCTACTTAAGGTTTATGTAGACTAAACTAATTGATGATTACAGACTAACTCTAATCACACCAAATCATATGACTGCAGTGGGACCCAGCAGAATGGTTGTGTGTGTGTGGGATGGAGAGGGGTCAGATTAGTAAATGCATTTGGCAAATATGTCTGTAAAAGATGTCCAGACTCTCCAAAAAGTGGCTCAGGAGTCACAATCGGTCTCCGTTTCTAAATCTTTGTTCAGCATTACAGAATCTAATGTAAAGGTTAATTAGCTAATATAAGTGACATTGTAAATAATTATTGTGCTATGTTTCCCTTCCTGTATCTATTTGGTTTTTACTAGACTTGTAACTTTTCATCCTTTATCACTATAAGAGGAACCTGTTGCTGGTAATTTCTGCTTTTCCAGCCAATTTGGGATAACACCTATTTTATAGTTGTTACTTGTTCACATTCACATATAGTAGAACTTTAGGAAAATCTTTAAAAGAGAACTATGGGGTAACCTTTTTATCTCATAGTTCTCTTTAGGGTCACGGGAGGACATATACTAAGATGATGCTCGCTATACTGAGAGACCCGCAGCTTGGACGGATCCTGACAATGCTGTCGAGACCCACCTTGCTGGCTGATAGGCAGAGCACGCTGTCAATCTAGAGGCAGATGTGCCCGCCCCCTCCCCTGTCTGTTCATCCACTCAGCGCTGCAGGATCTAAGCGGGGAGGGGGAATCCCTGTGGGGAGCTGTGAGCGACAGTTACCGCTCTCTGCAGGGAGATGAGTGGAAATCACTCACCTCATAGTTCTCCTTTAAATGACGTTGCTTATCTTTTTGCTTGCTGAAAAATCTTACTTAGCTTTCCCCTATGTTTTCCATAATTAACCCTGTCTGTACTGTGCTGAAATATTTCATTATCATTAGTGAACTAGATGTGCACACAGTCTGTCCTAACAAAGGGTTCCAGATCTCAAGGCTTGGATGGTACATTGTATGTTAATGTCCTTTGCAATCTCTCCTAAATAATAGAAGCTGCCTATAGAATACTATGTATAAACTTTCTCCACAGAAACGACTAGAAAGGAAGGAAATATTTATTAAAATTATTTTAGCTATGCTGTATGACTGGGAAACATAACTAATATATAATGTATGTTCTCAAATTTGACAGCAAAAGTGGTTATACACTTTAAAAGGCTGGGTTCAGACATCTGTAGTGCACACATGTTATTACAGTGTAGCGGGGTGAACACCACTTTCTACAGAGTAGGTTTTCAGTGTGTCACAAATAGAAAAAAAAACAGTCAACCACGGTGTTATTATCATGATACGGAGTGATTAAACATGTCATATGTACCTGTGTTCATGAGCCCTGCAGTACTCAAGTAATGGGAGAAGTGAGTTTGGATTTATTAATATTAAACAGCAAAAAAACAAGCTGAGAGCAGATCTGGGAGCTGTAGATATATAGTATATATTATAACAAAGCTTCCACTGCAGTTTTTACATCATGTGACTTTCAGAAGCTTGTTCTACACATCACATCACTGCCTACCCCAGTGATGCCCATCACATTCCAGAGCATGAATTGAATCTCTCCGTTTTGGATCCCGCAGCTCAGAGCCTGAAATACAAAGACGTCAGCAGACCTTTTACATAATTATGAATCCCTTAAACAATTGTCGGTCTCTTTATACACAGAAGAGCAGGATCAGAAGGACTTGCTTCACTCTACGTCTCTCTGACATCACTAAGTCTCAGTCATGACATTCACAGATCTCCACTGATGTCATTTCTTGGGTTCAGGATCAAATTCCTGGGATAACTGACAAAGTACAGACGTAAATGGATTCTCCAGATTCAAGCATAACAGACCTGTTATGAAGCTAATACAGATGATTAAATTGTATTTGTACATGGCATTCATTAAGAGCTGCATGGTGTTTCAACATTTGTTTACCAGGTTGCTTTAAAATGAAAGGTGACATTCATCTCGCTTCTGCAGTTAGATAGAAAAGAATGAAGACTAATAAAGAGTGCCAGCTAACCATCTCAAGAGTCCAAATAATAACTTTATTGACTTCACAAATGGCAACAAGAAGATATGCACAGCTAACTTGTTTCAGGAGTCAGGAATCATCAAAGCTAAAGCAACGGGCAACAATTCTTTGTCTTTCTGTTGTCCATTGCTTTATACCCCATTCACACTACGTGATTTCCGCCACGATATCTCGCATTTTTGCCACGCGATATCGCGATAAGTCGCCGGCCAATGATATTCAATGGAGCTGTTCTAATGTACAGCTCCATGTCGCTGTCGCTTGCGCAGGACCCTTTTTCCCCGCGGATGTCGCACGATTTTTCTATTTTTGAATGCAGCCCGACGGTGAAGGTCGTGCAATTGTCGCTGGAGCGTCGCCCGAACAGTCGCGCTATCCCGCCGCGAGGAAATCCGCTCGAGGAGAGTCTCGCTACGTGTGAATTTGCATATCTTCTTGTTGCCATTTGTGAAGCCAATAAAAGTTGCTAGGACTATTGAAATTATTACCTAGCACTCATTTTTAGCCCTCATTTATGAGGATTTTAATCATAGGTATCCTCTCCTTTTGTAGGGCCCCCTGTTTTGTGAAGAGCTGCCTTAACTTTCAACCTACAAGTACATGTACAGATACTTTTCCAGTTACAAGACTAGACAAGAGAAAAACTCAAAAGTTAGGAGGCAGCTGTCATTTTTAAGGAGCAAATGGAGCTCCTGGGATTTGTGCATCCCTGTATTAATGTACAATTGTTTTATATATATACACATTAGAGATGCACCGATACCGGTTTTTCAGTATTGTGTATGAGTACTAGGGTTGCCACCTGTCCAGGATTCACCCGGACAGTTCTGGTTTTGAATGCTGTGTCTGTGTTTCATGGCAGCAGTAACCCGGACACAAGGTATTAGGTAGACAGGGGCAACCAAAATTAAGATAGGGGCTACTAGAGTGTTCGGGTTTCGCTTGAAGAAAAGGTGGCAACCCTAATGAGTACAGATATTTTTTTTCCAATACTGATACTGGAAGTTCCATTAAGGAAGCTGGGCGGTGTGTAATGACTTGACACTCGGCTTCTTGTTTAGCTGGGAAGCCGTCTCCATGCTCCCCCATCACCTAGTGACGAGGAAACATGGAGCCGGCTTTCTGGCCAATCAGGAAACTGGGGGCTGGTACCCAGATAGCAAGCAATTGAGCTGCAAGTTTGAAAATGACTTGCTAAACTATTGCTAGACTTGCCAAGCTTCACAATTATGTTGCACAATTACAGCAAGTCTGCATTGCAAGTCTCCAGATCAACGTGCTTTGCAAAAGTGCTGTACACTTGCAGAGCTCTTGCTAAGACCTGCAGGACTCTTGCTGTAGACTTGCCAAGCACATTTGCTACAAATTCAAAAAGTGTCAACTAGAACTTGTGCTGCAAGTTTTCTGCAAGTTTACAACTTGCCAGGAATGTGTGCAGCAAGTTAACAAGAATTACAATATAACCCTGCCACACCTTTGTGGCAAGTTATCCTTGCTATCTGGGTAATGACTCACCGCCAGGCTTCCTGATAGGCCAGCTTCCCGACCAATCAGGAGGCTGAGCGGCGCCGCCTGACTTCCTGATTGACTGGGAAGCCAACTCCAGCCTCTCTCGTCACCAGGTGACAGTTTTTCTAAAACAATACAGACTAATGATTTCCAGACAGTGGTGAAGTACCAGTAGGGTTGCCACCTTTTCTTTAAGCAAAACCCGAACACTATAGCAACGTGCGGATATTTTTTTTATTGGGAGAATGAGTCGCAGCTTATTCATATGTACATAGTGCCATCCATTCATATGTAAATATCACAGTTGAGACTATTTTCAGTAGGGGGCCAGTAGTCCCTATCGTAATTTTGGTTGCCCCTGTCTGCCTGGCATCTTGTGTCCGGGTTTCTGCTGCCATGAAACCTGGACAAAGCATTCAAAACCCGGACTGTCCGGGTGAATCCTGGACAGGTGGCAACCCTAAGTACCAGAGCCAAGTCCCAGCTGCAACCGCTGCAACCCTGGTAGTTCTCATGAAAATACCAAGTATCGGCACTGGTTCCACAACTGGTATCTGAACATCCCTGGCCTAAACCAAGCAAAATTTTGGTCCTGTTTGACAAGAGGAAGTTTGTGGTCCAGCGCCACTCACCCTTAGAAAAGATTGATGTTGAGGATGCAAATGTCTGTCGGGCATCCAAGATAATATTACAATGAAAGTATAGCCCCCAAGCATATTTGATGTACACGTAGCTTATTTAAGGTGTCCAATAAATAATATTAAGCAAATGTGCCTTCAGACAAATATGTAAAATGCCATTGCTGAACTGAAAATTCTGGTCGCTGGCTGGCAAGGAGTATGCACATAAAGAATTTGACTTTATTCTTACTTTCCCTTTATTCATATTTATTCCAATTCAGTGACTGAGAAATCAGTGGAACAGCATAACAGTAGGCAACGAACAAATTCAAAAGGAAGGCATCAATATGAGCCTCCATTAGGACCAGACAGAGGCAACAGAGGCTCCTGTCTCAGCTGCTGTGTTGGTAGGGGGAAACTTTAGATCCAAACTTATGAGGTTCCTTGGGCAATGTCCTCCAATTTCTACACCTATTGCTGCTACTGGCCGTCCAGACATTGTCAGATTTCACATAAAAAACAAGGGGGACTCACACCAGCAGTAAGGCCCCATTCACACCTATGCGTATTGTAATATGCGCGTCTGTCGTGCGACCGTCACGCTTTTTTTTCCCGCGCGATTCCAAAGGCTACTTGGCAGTATCCAAATGGAAAACGCCCTACAAAACGGACCAATAAGCAGCAAAAACGCTCCGGGACCTTTTCATGCGTGGGCCGTTTTGTAGTGCGTTCGGGACGGGCGGAAATACGGACAGGTGGGAACGATACCATTGACTACAATGCTATTTATTTTTTTGACCGTTTTGTAGAGCGTTCATCGAGCGTAGGACGCGCTACAAAACGGTCAGGTGTGAATGGGGCCTAAGGCAGATCTTTAGGGGGATGGTAAAATTAGGTACCTCGGCTTATATTCGGGACGGCTTATACTCGAGTATATACGGTAAGAATTTCATAGCACTGGATCTAAAAAGCAATGCTGCGAATAGTATCAATCTCTATAGATCACATTCCACCCAGAATAACATACATTGTTTGGATACACCAGACATAAAAAAATTAAATCTACTATTGTGGATGGACATCTACACTATCCTAGCCCATGACTGACAAGGGGTGGCTGACAAAACAGGTATAAACGAAAACCGTCACATAAGTAATGCAGCTCCTGTAGCAGCCAACCAGAATTGATCTTTTTTTAAATGAAGAAAAGGCTCTGATTGGTTGCTATAGTGTGACAGTTGTCTGTTTCTAGCTTTTAGAACTCTATTGTATTGTTTAGATTATATTTATATCTATAAATCCAAAATCCATCTTACCTCCCTGTCTCAAGAATGTCTTTTTTATCTTCTTTTCATAAATGCAGCTCCAGCTAATTGTCCCAAAGGCAAATATGACGGAGAATGTTAGAAACTCAGAGAGAAGAGTCTGGTCCTGATGTTCTCTAGCTGTAGCAAAACCCCGAACAAAACAGAACTATCCAGGCTGGAGAAATTAGCTGAGGCCAACAGAACGTACAGAAAAGGCTTCTGTGGGAGGGCGCCTGGTCAGGGGAGGCAAAGCACTGTGGGCTGCTTAACGTATATCAGGAGCCATTGTCCCCGAGCAAGGCTGTGTGACCCAGCAAATGTTTTCTAGTCATCTCTCATTCCACAACGACCATGTGTTATGCTACATTACTGACCAGCCTTCTACCCGCATTGATAGATGAAAAATAACTGACAGATAAATAGACACAATAATATATGGATTTATAAACAATGATATCATTGTATTTTATTGCAGCCCCATAATGTATGTCAATAATTCTATTACAGGGAAGGACTAGGAACCTTTGGCCGGGAGGAAAAACACAACTAAAGGTGTCTGTGAAGGTTCTCGTTTATCCAGGACATGTTATATCTGTAAAACAATAAGTCAAGGCAACTGGCCTTTCTGTATTTTTCTTGAGGACGTTTCACTAGTCATCCAACCAGCTTTCTCAATTCAGAAAGACTTGTACAAATATTCTCTGGGTTATAAATATGGTGAATGTTGTTCCAATCCACATAATCTGTTAATCGCAACCAGGTGCAAATGCAATCAACACCTGGTTGCGATTAACAGATCAGCAATGACTGGATATCATGCCTGGTGGGGCATACCTAGAGGTAAGGTAAGAATCTCATCCTAGACAATCCTTATTATAGGTGGAAAAGGTATGACCCCGCTCTTCACCTCCTGGCCTAACCCTGCTCATGGGCATAAAACAGGTTCCTGCACACATCTTCATGTTCCAATCCTTTACTGTATATCAGATGAACAGTATATTTATTATTGCTATTTATATATTGCAATGATAATTTACGCAGTGCTTTACATAGTTGAACATTCACATCAGTCCCTGCCCTCAAGGAGCTTACAATCTAAGGTCCCTATCTCACATACATACGAGGGCCAATTTAGACAGGAGCCAATTAACCTTCCAGCATGTCTTTGGAGTGTGGGAGAAAAACCACGCAAGCACAGGGAGAACATGCAAACTCCTTGCAGATAGTGTCCTAAACGGGTAATGAACTGGAGACTCTAGTGCTGCAAGGTGGACATGCTATCCCCTTTGACACTGTGCAGTTCGTCATAGACTTGCCAAGCTTCAGCCAAATGTAGTTTTGTGGGTAGGCGAGTGGGGTGAGCAGACTAATTTATTCTACTATATCATCACATTGTATTCCTTTGCAATCCTTCCAAGAAAAAATAGCTACATATGTGATCAAATAAATTAACATTTTATCACTACAGTAAATTCTGTTATCCAGAATTCAACCAACCAGAACTCTCATCTAACCAGAAAAAAAATCCCCTGTGTACTTACTGTTTTGCTGATCTGCGGCATGTATTATACTGGAAACGATTGTGTGTCTATTTGTCTTAATTTGCTTTTGATTACTACATTTCAATATTAATATGAAGTCAATACAGAGTTTATGTTATGGTATCGTATGGGGTATGGCATTAGTTAGACCTATTTTTAATAGTAACTTTCAAGCAACCAGAAACTACATTTATCTGGAATCCACCAATCCCTGTGGATGCCGAATAATGGGGTGTTTACTGTATTTGAAAATACACATTTACTGTATATTATATGTGATATAGAGAACTAAGTAACCAAAGTGGCCATGACCATAGGGGAGTAGAAAAATAAAATCCTCGCTCTTGCTTAGCTATATGCATACTCCGTGTAAAACATTCAGGGATTCCCTACTCACTAAAAACAGCAAGAGAATGTCATATTGGTTGTTGTGCAAGGTGGAGCTTTTGTGGAAGGAATGGCTTAGATTACAAGACTTTCCTAATACCCCTCATATGGAAGAAATGTTATATATCTTGGTCAATGGGAATGGTTTAAAAATGCCGGAAGTTAATTTCATTTCCTGCTTAATGTCTATTATCAATATATTTCATAACATATTGTATCACCTAGCTGTGTAGTTAATTTGTGTAACAATCTGCAGGTTTACACATTTACCACCAGGTGGCGCAAATTGTGCATTTTGTAGAATCCATCTGACCCCAGAGGACATGGAGTGCTGTGGCTGTGAAGTCAGGGGATGACATCAGGTATGCTGAAAAAGTAATTGTTGATATAGTGAATAAAATGAAGTACTGCCTGAACATATTTCTAAATCAATGCATAAATACGGATGTGAGATAAAATGTGTATACCCTTAGCAAATAGCAGGAATTTTGCAATGAATTGCATTCTAAAATGCTAGCTGAACAATATTGGAATTTTGAACGATTCACAGGAATCATCTGAAATTCTAACAGTGTGTGTTCCTGTCAGCTCAAAAAAAGTAAATTACTCAATCCACTTTTGTTGAAGAAGCCGAGCCAGAAATTGGCAGCCAAACAGTGACTGCAGCCAACCAGCTTAATGCCTTCTTGACTCCACCCGGGAAAGACTGTTTACAGGTGTGCACGCCGCATGGATGTGTGCGCCCAGTGTGAATGAGGCCTAATACACACACACAACACATAATACATACGCACAGAACACACAATACACATACAGTTCACAAAATACACACGTAATACAGTACACACAATACGGGACATGCCATACAGTACACACGCACACACACACAATACAGTACACACGTAATACAGGACACACGCATTACAGGGCTCACGCAATACAGGACACACGCAATACTGGACACACGCAATACTGGACACGCGCAATACTGGACACGCGCAATATAGGACACGCGCAATATAGGACACGCGCAATACAGGGCACACGCAATACAGGGCACAAGCAATGCAGGACACACGCAATGCAGGACACACGCAATGCAGGGCACACGCAATACAGGACACACACAGCATTGCTATTCAGCCCATCAATAGTTCACTATAAGCAGCCAGGGGAGGAAGAGAGGAGAAGGCTGAGACAGGGAGAAGAATCCCCTCCCCCTCCCCACGCTGCTCCTGGCCGGAATGTATACTATAGGAGCAGCTGTGAGTGCAGGAGAGCTCCTCATACCTGCTGACAGCTTGCCTCCTCCGGTCGTATCGTCTCACTCCCGAGTCCCGGCTGAGACTCTGCTCGACCCTCTAGGCCCCCCCTGTGTGGAGGCAGACTCCCTAGCCTGTGCTTTGTCCAGTCCCCGCTCACACGCTCACTTGATGGGGCCTGCTCGGTACAGGACAGCTGCCTGTACACCCCTATTGGCGGGCCTGGCCACAGGCCCTGTGCTGGTCGCGGGCCCTCGGGTGGTGCCCGAGTGCCTGATGGTTCAGTCCGCCCCTGCATGTTAGTGTTTCTCTCCTACAAACAGACAGCAGCAAATGTCATTCATGCCTGTTTGACTTTGAGAGCCCTGCATATTAAAAATTCAGACTGGTCCAGAACTCCAGACTAAAGTATCCAGGCTACAAATATACTCCTCCATTCGTGACTTCTAAATGCGGCTAGGGTTGCCACCTGTCCAGGATTCACCCGGACAGTTCGGGTTTTGAATGTTGTGTTCGGGTTTCATGGAACCAGGAATCCGGACACAAGATGTCAGGCAGACAGGGGCAACCAAAATTAGGATAGGGGCTACTGGCCCCCCACTGAAAATAGTCTCAACTGTGTTTTTTACATATTAATGGGTGGTGCTATTTACATATGAATAAGCCACGACTCATTCTCCCCAAAAAATATGTCCGCGTGTCGCTAGAGTGTTCGGGTTTCACTTGAAGAAAAGGTGGCAACCCTACATGCGGCTTCTTTTTGTTGGATAAACATCTCTGTCCACAAGAGAACCTTTTTACAAACAAGTCAACATGTCTTATACAAGACTTGGGGGAGGAAATTCTTGGCATTGGACATTTTTACATGAGTGGATCAGACCAGGGCCATCATAGCTCTATGAATCCACCACAGAGAATATATACACCCGCACATTGGACAGTTGGTGTGGGATAAAATAATAAATACTGCCCCAAAGACAAATGCGGCAAGATGAAAGCCTTCATAACTTTGGACTGGAAAGTAGTGACATTTGGCAACTGTAGAAACCAAGAAATGCGCACCAGCCATGAACCTTCACTGAGCACTAAGCAGCATTGTTCCCACACTAAATCATTTAAAAAGCTGAATGAGATCCATATCGAGCAGATTACCTCTTACCGCTCCAGCTTCCGGCCCAAGGACATCGCTTCTACTAAAACAAGTTGCCTAGAGACTGGCAGGGCAGGCCTGGGTGACAAAGAAAACTGTGTGCTTAGTGTTGCAAGGACTGAGTTGAACGGACAGGACGTCTAAGTGTGCGGGGGATGCAGCCCACCCTCTTGAACATTATAATTAAAACTTTCCTGTCGTAGAGCTCGCGTTGTTGGTGGAAACAGACCCAATTAGGGGCCCTTGGAAGCTGAAATAAGAGAGAGGCCAATGTCCTGCCTTATGAGAATAGAACTAATGAGAACTGCTTTGACATAATGACCCATGTTAACCACTTTGTAGTGTTTTGGTCTGTGGTTACACTCTAGCTGAGAACACATCTTACCTTCACATTTTTTCCCCAGAATTTTAAAAGGTCACTGCTAACTTATCCACAAAGCAGAGTCTAGCCCAATCTCAGAAGAGCATACTGAACACTAAATGGAGATCAAAGTTTTATTTATGTATAGTTGGAAAATGAAAAAGACGCAGGTTGGTCAAGCTTGTTAACTGTAAAGCATATTAATCTAGAGGAGGGTAAAGAAAAATATGGCTTGAATGCCCCACTTAGCTGTATTCAGGTGAAGGGTATAGCAACAAAAGCATTAGAAGTAGTAAATGTCCCTGAGCTCTAACCTTGGCCTTAGAATCTCTATTTCTTTGTTTTTAGTGGCACTTATTTAGTCCTTAGCTAGAACAACCTATATTACCTAAAAATTAATCTGAGGTATTTGTGTATATGAACAGGGTACCACTAATGAGGAGAATTGTGAGGCTCTGGTGCACACTTTGCCTAGTGCCTTGAGTTTAGTATTGTCCTAGTTAAAAGGGTTAGATTACCTTTCTGACCATGTTTCATGGTAACATCATATAGACGGGAGGAATGATCTGCAAGATCCTGAGCATTAGTAGATAGCGGGTGCATTGCTTTACTGGCTCCTATGGGGGAAAAAAATCAAAGACGCACATTTTTTCTTTAATGAAGAAGTATGCATTTATTAGTTTCTGCAAAAGCTAGGATTTCCCTTTAACTAGGGGCAGAATGCAGTGGCCAATCAACCCCCTTTGAATTCTTTAAGCCAAACATGCTGAAGGCCTGTTAAGCAGAATTCAGTGATATATATTTGCAGGTGCACAAGGCTCCTCTGTGAGCATTAGTACACTAGGCTTGATCCAGTTCTGACATTTCAGTGACATTAGAAATCAGTCATAGTCATTAAAGCTGCTTTTCAGGCAGATATGAAAAAGCTGTGGATTTCTTTTAAAATAATGAATGTAGAACTGTATCAGGCTATGGACAGGCCCTCACTGACTTCTGTAGCTACAAGTACAGAGAAGTAATTCATCCTTAAAGATCTGAGAAAACCACTTTCAATCAGTAGATTGTTATGCTCCCAGCAGTGAGTGGGCAGCATGTTCACATTCTAATCTGCAATGTAAATACAAAGCAGAGTGCTGAGACTGGACTTGGAAGACATTACTTGTGAACTTTGAGGACGAATTGCTCCACAGCGCCTGCAGCCATAGAGGTTACTGAGGGCTTGTTTTAAAGTTTATCCAATGCTTGCTAAGAACATGTAGATAACTGAATGTCCACAGACAGAACATATACTATAGAGATAGTGAATCTCCCTAGCGGGAAGTGGCAACAATAGAAATCTGACAGTGGATTAACAGTCGGTAATGGTGAGCATAGCGTTCTGTTTTAGGTTTTCCTTCTTTTTCTTTTTTCTCCCCTTATCTCTAGAGGTTGAACTCGATGGACTTGTGTCTTTTTGCAACCTGACTAACTATGTAAGTATGTTCTAACTCCCTGTCATGTACCTTGGTGGATTCTGAGTTGATGAGTGTAGGTTCCCTTGCAGCTCCGGTCTCAGGGCTCCTGGAAGGCAGAACAGGTACACAGGGACATGGAGTGGCACGAGTGGCGGAAGATAGTTGGATGGTTCATCTCTGTTCTCTGTGATGCCGATGAGTCTCTCTGCAGGAAGCAAGCACCGGAGCCATGGTCAAAACAAGCCGAACAGTACCAAGCAACAGGCAGGGACGAGGTCAGAAACAAGCCAGGGTCGATAATTTGGGGACGGTACAGTATAAGGCGACACGCAGCTGACGATTACTCAACACAGAAGGTCTAGATGTCTCAGCCTACATAGCTCTTCAGGCACCAGGATTCAAATTATGTGTGTACTCATGCCTGCGCACACGCTTTGAAGTGCGCACACAGACACACATGCGTCTGCGCAAAGATGCACACCCAGGCAAAGCTCTATGAAGCAAACCAGGCGCATGCACATGGGCAGATGCTCGTGCATGAACCCTGGCTCTGGCTTCCTAAAATCCCCTCACCTACAAAAAAAATGTTGGGCTTTTGATACACTTTACCTCTGAAGCTTACAACATGCATTACACCCTGACTGTACAATATTTGTAGAATCTCCTATAGATTTACCAAAACAAATTACCTGTATAGACTCGTATAGATAGAGTTAGGACCACACTTTGCAGAGGTGCCTTGGTGCGGCGGTGTGGCTTCTACATATTTTTGGCGAAAAGTTTGTGCAACTAAAACCTCTGTTTTTAACGCATACTGTTGACAGGGTAATTTGTTTTGTTGCAGGCCACCTGGCAGGTGAGCTGGGGATTTTTTGTGTTTTGTATTGTTGTAAGCCTTCCCATGTGCGCCCTGCTATAAAGGCTGGTTATAGATTAATGCCGTTACCATGTTTTTCCTTTTTCACAGGTCAGAGCCACCTGCCAAGTACCTGAAAAACATTGGGAAGCGCCACAGTAAAAAAAAAATTCAAAACATGCACATTAATTTCCACCCCTAAAAGTAGCTGACAGTCCAATGTAATGTATGTGTAGGACACGTGTAGATGCCATGTAGAAACCAACTGTAAAGCTGCACCTACGTCACTCTGTCAATCCTCTGCAGTGGACTTTTTAACGCACCTGCAATTTTTTTTCCAGTGCACCACCATGCACAAATGGTTCACACCTGTGAGTTGTGGCGCATTGGAGATGTACATCGTAGTTTCATAAAAAAATGAATGGCACTAAAATGCATGGTAGTGTAGGCGCCATGGCGTGAGACAGCAATTTATCGCATTACCACAATGTGAAAGTGTGAATTCGGCCTAACCCTTTTCAATCATAACATAAAATATACCCAAAGCTGTATTTGGAAGAAGTTATCGCTTTGTCTCATGGAAAGGCAGCATTTGCTGATTGAGTTCAGCAGAGGGCGCTGCGTACCAAGGGCCCATGCATTCAACAATGCTGCAAATAACTTCTTATTGATTGAATACCTGTGTACCCTTTTAGGCCCCATTTATATTTGAGCCGAGTGTTTTTTAGGTGTTTTTTTTAGTGTTTGTACAGGTGTTTTCCCAAGCATTTTATTTTTAGCCAATGCATAGCTACCGTAGTTACTAGGGCAAAAAGCTTGAAAAATGTACGTTATCCACATTTTTGTGCATTTTCCATGTGCTCCCAAAGAAGTCTGTTGGGGCAAAGCACTTGATTCTGCTCCAAAAAAAACCTCAAATATATTTTCAAGCTACAAGTATTTTGCTACAAGCGACAGAATGTTCAGGTGTCAACAAGGGCCATTGAAAACAATGGGATTCCTCCATTGAATCGCTAAGGCAATCGAGCTACAAACCGATCAGGTGTGAAAGGGGCCTTAAGGTGCCCATACACCTTGCGATTATCGTACGATAATCGCGGGAAATCCCACGATCGTGCGATAATCGCAAGGTGTATGGAAGGCGTGCAACCGTTTTTACTGTATGGTCGCGCGTCTTTTGTCGAACCAGCATGCTTGAAAACCCGCCGAGAATCGTACGTTTCTAGCCTGCTCGTTCGACAACTGCGGAACGGGCCGGTGTGCGCGCACGCACACTGTCCGTTCAGCATTGCGGTCATTGGAAGCCCGCCCATCAGCGGGGCGGGCTTTCGGTGATCGCAAGTACGATCTGCCTATCCAAGATGGGCAGATCGTACGAGCTTTTAATTAGCTTACGACCATCGCAAGAGAAAAGTCTGGCCATGGTTGCTAGGTGTATGGGCACCTTTAGACTAGTTTTATTCGAATATACCCTGTATGGCCAAAAAAAGTCACCACGTGGATTAAGCTAAGCAAATAGGCAAGAGCTATAGGGGTTGCTTCAGTTGGTAAGGTCTAGGTTCAGCAATGTTATGTGCCCAAAAAATGAGGTCAGCTGCCTACCTGAATATACTGAATGACCAGGTTTTCTATCAATGGATTTTTTTTCTTCCCTGATGGCATATTGGGCATATTCCAAGATAACAATGCCAGGATTCATCGGGTTCACAATGTGAAAGAGGTTCAGGGAGCAGGAGACATCATTTTCACCACAGAGTGCAGACCCCATTGAGAATATTTGGGATGTGCTGAAGAAGACTTTACACAGTGGTCTGACTCTCCCATCATCACTACAAGATCTTGGGGACAAATGTATGCAATTCTGGACGGAAATAAAAGTTGTGACATTGCATAAGCTCATCGAAATGATGCCACAGCATGCAAGC